TGGAGCTATCTTGGCTCACTGCAATGTCTGACTCCCGGGCTCAAATGATTCTCCTGCCTCAGCCTCCCAAGTAGCTAGGACTACAAGTGAGCGCCACCACGCCAGGCTAATTTTTTTTTTCATTTTTAGTAGAGACGAGATTTCACCATATTGGCCAGGCTGGTCTTGAACTCCTGACCTCAGGTGACCCACCCGCTTTGGCCTCCCAAAGTGCTCGGATTACAGGAATGATATAACTAACATTTAATCAATACATTCTTGCAGATCCAAGACAGGTTAGATATATTTTCCACTGAGACTTGAAAAAAAATTCTTAAGTTGCTTTTAGTTTTTTAGATCTTAACTCACATGGAGAAAAGTTGGGTTTTAGTACAAGTCTATTGTAAACTCATAAGCTCATTAACTGGTATTCATCATTCAAAAACCAAAGGAAAAAAATAAGGTTCACAATACTTGAAATTGTATTTTGATGGAAGTCAGATAAGTAATGTTGTCCTCCAAGAAAGTATAAAAGTTTACTACATTTGTATAGCTACTGCTAGAAAATAAATTCACAAAAGACCTGCTATGATTTCATTCTCATCAAATTACTTTGTTCCTTGTGATTTCACAGATAGATTGAGGAAAATGATGTTTAATTTCTTATCTCAGTTTTATTAGAATTTTATAAGTAGAAACAAAAGACATACTGTACAGGAAGAAATCTCTGGGTTTTTATTGTGCCTGCATCATATTGCCCTTCCACAGTTAGGTTTTAAGATAAAGATCACCTGCCTACCTTCCACCAAAAGTAATATTTTGTTTTTAATCCAGAAAATTGGTTACCCTTTCTGCATTTGAAAGAGGGCTATACGTAAGTATTGTGTGCCAAAAATAAATTATTTTCCAAGATGGGTTAATATTTTTACTATGGAGACGATCGGTTTTAAACTTTTAAATGGTAATTTACCTTTCAAATTAAAAATAAAGAATTATAAATAATTTTAAAAACTAACGTCTTTATGCATTTGGATACCTCCTGTTTTCACCTCCATGCCTAGGCTAAACTTGAGCCTTCAAATTTGTGGGCGGAATCTTGGTGCCCACTTGGATAGCAAACTACCCTCTGCTGACCAGTGTCCCCTTTCCTCTCAGGTGAAGGCTCTGTGAGAACCAAGTGCAAGGTGATGGATGGGAGACTCAAGGAATGAGACAGTCAGGGAAAAACTAGGAGAGTGAGGTTTCATTTCCAGATATAAAAAGATGTAGAAACAGCTGAAAAAAGGACCCTGTTCCTCTGCAGAGGAAACCACATTTCTGAAGACCTTAGATCTGGCATGGTGGCTGACGCCTGTAATCCCAGCATTTTGGAAGACTGAGAGGAACATCGCTTGAGGCCAGGAGTTCAAGGCTGCAGCGAGTTGTGATTGTGCCACTGCACTCCAGTCTGGGTGACAGAGTGAGACAATGTCTCGAATGAAACAAAACAAAACAAAAACGGAGGTTGGGGGAAGATATTAGAGCCCTCTGATCCTCTAATAACTCCCAGGTCAACCTCGGGAGTCGTGTGGCTATGTGCTGAAAGGATCCTGGGTCACTGGGTCACCACTGGACAATTAAGAGCACTGGCCAGTACAGGCGACAAACCCCACTGTTTGGTTAGTGTCTAAACGCAGTTATTTCCACTTCTGAAAACCTGTCACAGAGACAGAAGAAAGGGTATCTACTGTTGCAACGTTAGTGTCTACTCCCTCCTCCCGTCGTTCATCACTGAGATCTAAGGTGACAGGAGCATCTTGAGTGCCTTCGCCTTCGGGTGCAAACCAGCAGCACCAATTCTGCAGTTAGGAATCCGTCTGCAGATACAGTCACGGGAAACTGCCCCTTCCAACGGAACCTTGTGAAGCTTCTCTTATTGGAGGTCCATGTGAGCAGTTTCTAGGATTACGAAGTTTTCGTACAGCCACTGTTAGCAAGACGCAGTGCGGAGACCTACCTCCCGGCTGTGTGACTGCGCGGTGACATCCAAGGCGGCAGAGCCTCTGCTAGGACACGCTGGGCTATGGGGACAGGTTGGGCGTGGCTTTCAGGTCCGCGGGCCGCCAAAATGGGAAGGGAGGAGTCGCAGAGGGACCGCGCGAAGGCTCCGTCCCACGAAAGGACTGGCTGCGCCCCGGAACCAGGACGCAGAGCTTCCCTGTTCCAAGCGGGAACAGATTGAGAACATCCAACAATATATATTTTGTGTGGACGGATAAAACCTAAGAAAGGAGGCCCAGGGGCTGCAGTGGCTCCGTCCTCCCAGCACCCGCGGCCCGGGGTCTGCGAAGCTCTCCGCCCCGCCCAGGGAAGCAGCGATGCCTGGCGGAGCCTGCGCGCTGGCGACCGCGCTGCTGATGCTCCTGGCCCCGGGGGAAGGTCGGCGAGGTAGGGCGCGCGCGGGTGGGCGTGCAGGGGTGCTGCCCGGGCGGTGGAGGGACGGGGCCTGACTTCTGGGATGTTGTGGGGAGCGTCCGGTGCATTTTAAGGCCGCTTGCGATGTTTGTTCCTCACGGGCCTCCACTCTATCCGTCTGTGGTCTTTGGAATGGTCAGTTTCCAGCCTGTTACTCTTCAGTTTTCTTTTGCGCGCTTGCGTTGTTGTCTCCTCTTAAAACCCTCGGTTCTGTTTTTGGTTGTTTGTTTCCTGCTGATATCCAGCTCTTTAAGGTCCTTTTAACTGACTGTAAGAAACTTTTGCCGGATCTGCCAGGTATTCTGGCCGCAAGTGGGCTTGAATTCTCAGAACAGAGTTGAGTTCCAAACTACATGAATTCCACCTCTACCCCTACCCTTGGAAATAATTCATTGGTGAACATTTTATCCACCCCCCCCCCACAAAAAAATCACCAAGTTAAGTTTTGTATATCCATATTATACTGTATTGTGGTTTTTGTATATATGTTAGAATCATTTTTGCTGCTGTTAAAGAGATCTCTATGGAGCGGATATTCCCCTCCTACTTCTTTAATCCATGACAGAGAACACTACATTTAAAGTACAGTGAAGTTAATCCCAAAGTACTTTCATTAGCCGTTCCTGCTTGTTTTTTGTTTTCATTCCAGATAGGAAATATTAATGAAAGGTGACTTGTTCTTATATTGCAAGTTTCCTCACGTTTTTCAGAAATAAGTCTGATTTGCATTCAGCTCTCTGCAGCTTGAAAAAACATTATGTACAACATTTCTGAAAGTCCAGGATATAGTGTTGTCTTATCATTTTGTTGATCTTAAGCCATTTTACTGATGTAAGTTTGCTTTTTAAAAGAATATAGACACTATCCCATGTCAAACTTAAAAAGAAAATATTAAAATCAAATTTATTATTTTCTGAAATATTTTTTTCTGGTTCTTTTTTGGTTTGCTTACAGATTTACTAAATCTTTATGAATAACTTTAAAAAATACTTGTAATAACATATATCTATTCATTACAGTTAGATAAATATTTCCAGGAAAAAAAATGACCAATTTTTATAAAGGAAGATGATTTCATGTTTCCTATAGACCACATAACCCTTTTTTGCTCTGTATAATAGCTTTGTGATCTCTCTACTGAAGACAAATATTACCCATTACCAAGTTTGAAGTTCATAACATTGGTAACATTGATAACTTCCTTATGTTTAATAGAGTAAAGCTAGAAGACACGGTGAATGGAAAGTACATTTATTGACACTCTTTCTTTTTTCAAATAGCTTTAATAAGATGTTCCTATGCCATACAAATCACTCACTGAAAGTGTGCAATTGTGTGGTTTTTCATTTTCACAGATACGTATATATTCAGAGTATATTTACAGATACATGCAACCATGATTACAGTCCATTTTAGAACATTTTTATCAACTGAAAAAGAAATACTGCACCCTTGGCTATCATGCCCCATACCCTCTGTCACACTCCCTTCTTCCCCAGCCATAAGGAATTATTAATCTACTTTCTGTCTTACTGCATTTGCCTATTCTGGAAATTTTATATAAGCTGAATCATATAATAGGTTGTTTTTGTGACTGGCTTCCTTCACCTAGCATAATGTTTTCAAGGTTCATCCATTTTTTTCAAGCATGTACCAGTACTTCGTTTCTTTTTAAAATGGAATAATCTTCTATTGTGTGGATATGCTACATTTAGTATATACATTCATCAGTTAATGAACATTTGGGTTGTTTCCACCTTTTGACTTTTATAAACAATGCTGCTATAAACAACTGAGGTACAAGTTTTGTTTTGATGTATGTGTTCATGTCTCTGAGATATATGCCTAGGAATGTAACTGGGTTATAGGGCAACTCTATAATTAACTACTTAAGGAACAGCCAGAATGTTTACCAAAGTGGCTATGCTGTTTTATATTTCTGCAACAGTATATGAAGTTTCTAATTTCTTCATGTTTACATCAACACTTTTCATTAACTGACATTTTGAGTCTACCTATCCTAGTGGTTGCGAAGTGGTATTTTATTGTAGCTTGATTGTCATTTACCTAATGGCTAATGATAGCAAGCATTTTAATGTCCTTATAAGACATTTGCTCATCCTCTTCAGAGAAATACTTACTCAGATCCTTTGCCATTTAAAAACATGGGTAGCTGGCCTTTTTCTTATTGAGTTGTCTAAGTTATTTGCATATTCCAGATATAATTCTTTTATTGCATATGCGATTTGCTGTTATTTTCTCCCATTCCATGGGTCCTCGAAATAATCCCCTGTGGATGCTGAGGGACTCCTATACTGTAGTTATTTGATTCCTTAGAATTTTCTATATGGAGATAGTATTACTTATTCCTTTCTAATCTAGATATGTTTTATTTATTTATCTTGGCTAATCTCCCTGGGTAGAATTAGCTATACTAAAGTACAATGTGGAATTGAAATGGTGAGAGAAGACATACTTGTCTTGTTCCTGATTTTACAGGAAAACATCACTTCTTTGTTCGTCACATAAAATGTAAGCTGTGGGCTTTTTATATATATCCTTTATCAAGTTGAGGAAACTTCCTCCTGTTCAGGTTTGTTGAGTGTTTTTATCGTGAAAAGGTGTTGGATTGTTAAAAAATGTTTTCTCTGTATCTATTGAGATGAACATGTGGATTTTAACTTTATTCTGTCTATAAATTATAGTAATTCAATTTTAGATATTAAACCAACCTTGTTTTCCTGGAATAAATCTCACTTGGTCATAATTTGCATATATATATAGATAGATGTAGTTTGCTTTTTAAAAGGGGTTATTGGGTGTTAATGTTTCTGGATTTGGGTTGCTGAAGGCTTTTTCATCCATATTCTAAAGATATATTGGTTTATAGTCATCTTTTCTTGTTATATATTTTTCTGGCTTTGGTGTCAGGGTAACCAGAATAAACGGCTATAATACCGGTCTCATACAATGGGGTGGGAAGTGATCCGTCTTCTATGTTTTGAAAATGTTTGAGATGAATTGGTAGTAATTCTTTCTGAAATGTTTGGTAAATTTAGCATTGTTGCCATCTGGGCTAGGTCTTTTCTTTGTGGGTAGTTTTTTGGCTGATTTGATCTTTTGACTTGTTATAAATGTATTTGGATTGTAGTTTTCTTCTTTAGTTCTTTTTGTAGCTCGTGTCTTTTTTTAGGAATTTGTCAATCTCATCTATGTTATCTAATTATTGGCATGTAACAATCATAGTATTTCTTAATAAGATTTGCAGTACTGTCCCCTATTTCGTTACTGCTTCTAGTAATTCAAATCTTCTCTCAATAAATCTAGTTAGAGGTCTGGCAGTTTTGTTGATTCTTTCAAATAACCAGGTTTTGGTTTCATTGATTTTTTTCTCTCTTGTTTTTCTACACTCAGTTTTATCAATTTTCTTTCCAATCTTTAAAATTTCCTACTTTTTGCTTCCTTTAGGTTTAGTATGCTCTTATTTTTCCATTGTCTTAAGGTGCAAGGTTAACTTGTTATGTTCATATCTTTTTTTCTAATACTATGGGAACATTCCTGTCAATACGTGTCCCTGTAAGCACTACGTTAGCAGCATCCCATACATTTTAGTATGTTGTGTCTTCATTTTAACTTTTTGCCAAGTATTTTCCATTTTTCCTTTTTCATTTATTCTTTGACTCACTGATTATTTTGGTTAATTTTCACATATTTGTAAAATTTCTTAAATTTCATTATTATTGATTTCTAATTTTATTCCATGTGATCAGAGAACATGCTTTTTATGAATTTCATCTTTTTGAATTTCATTTTTATTTCATGTTATTTTTAAAAGTAGGATCTTACTATGTTGCCCAGGCTGGATTTGAACTCCTGGGCTGAAGCAATTCTCCTACCTGAGCCTCCCAAGTAGCTGAGTTTATAGGAACATACCACCATGCCCAGCTTTCTGTTTGCATTTATCAAGGCTTGTTTTATGGTCTAGTAGATTGACTATTTTGACAAATAGTCCATGTGCACTTGGGGAAAATTTATTTTCTAATATTTTCAGGAATAGTGTTTATAGATTTCTGCTAGGTCAAGTTGGTTTGAATTATTGTTCTAATTTTTATTTATTTATTATGCTGCCTGTTTTTAAAATTGATATTGAAAGTGAGGCATTAAAGACTCCAATTATTATTGTTAAAATGTGTATTTTTTTCCTGATTTTCTGCTAGATTGTGCCTCATATATTTCAGTGCTCTGTTATTAGATTCAGTTATGTTTACAATTGCTATATCTTCCTCATGGATTGACCCTTTTATCATTATAAAGTGTTCCTCTTATCTCTGGTAAGATTTTTATGTTTTAAGGTCTTAGTTTGATAGCAGTACAGTCACACCACCTTTCTTTTGGTTGCTTCTTGCAGCATATATTATTTTCTGTCCTTTTACTGTCAATCTAACTGTATTCAGAAGAGGCCCTCAGTTTGTCTTTTGATATGTAAGGAAGGCCAATGTAAAGTGATTTAGCAAACTAGTCATTCTATTTTTCCTTGCTTTTCAAACTTTTGGGTTGCTAAAGAACCTAAAATTCTATATTTTTTTAAAATCTCAACTTTTATTTTAGATTCAAGGAGCACACGTGCAGGTTTGTTACATAGGTACATTGTATGATGCAGAGGTTTGAGGTACAGATGATATTGTTACCCAGATAGTGAGCGTGGTACCCAATAGGTAGTTTTTCAACCCTTATCCTCTTCCTTCCTTACCCCTTTAGTAGTCCCTACTGTCTATCGTTCCCATCTTTATGTCTGTGGGTACCCAATGTTTAGCTTCCCCTTATAAGTGAGAACATGCAGAATTTGGTTTTCTGTTTCTGCATTAATTTACTTAGGATACTAGCCTCCACTTGCATCCATGTTGCTGCCAAGGACATGATTTTAGTTTTTTTTTATGGCTGCATAGTACTCCATGGTGTATATGTATTACTGAAATGCCAGGGTTTCAGTCTAGGTCCTGCACTGAAAATCAATCACTGAGACAATGAGTATTGCTGGGAAGGAGGGCTTTAATAGGGCACTCCAGCTAAGGAGATGGAAGATCAGTCTCAAATTCATCTCTCTGACTGATTAAAATTGGGTTTCTATAGTAGGGGAGAAATGTAACTACATGTAGGAATACAGGAATTAGGGAGGAATAAGGAAGATGAATTAGTCAACAGGAAGCTGATGGTCTGTGAAGCAATCATGATCGGTAGGGGTCCAGAATCCCATTTTCCAGATATGGCAATCTGGTAAGTTTCAGTTCCTTGATACCATTTGGGAGGCCAGATGGTTGGTTTCCTGAAAAAGGAACTCAGATAAGCAGTTGTAACTTTCTGAAGTTTTAAGACCAGTAGGGTCAATTTCAATGTTTATTTAAAAGGAACCATAAACATCAGTTCTGTAGGACAATTGCACCTTTTTCAGGTATACTACATTTTCTTCAACCAGTCCCCTCTTGATGGGCACCATGGCTGATTCCGTGTCTTTCCTACTGCAAATCGTGCTTGGATACACATACCAGTACATGTGTCTTTTTGGTAGAACTATTTATTTTCCTTAGGTGTATGCCCTGTAATGGGATTGCTGGGTTGGATTATAGTTCTTTTTTTGATTCTTTGAGAAATCTCCAAACTTCTTTCCACAGTGACTGATTTAATTTACATTCCCACCAACAGTGTATAAATGTTGGCTTTCCCCCACAGCCTCACTAACATCTGTTGTTTTTTGACTTTTTAGTGATAGTAATTCTGACTGGTGTGAGATGATATCTCATTGTGGTTTTGATTTGCGTTTCTCTGATGATTAGTGATGTTGAGCATTTTTTCTATGTTTGTTGGCCATTTATATGTCATCTTTTGAGAAGCATCTGTTCATGACTTTTGTCCACGTTTTAATGGGATTGTTTTTTGCTGTTGCATTATTTAAATTCCTTATAGATTCTGGATATTAGACCTTTGTCAGATGCATATTTGTGAATATTTTCTCCCATTCTGTAGGTTGTCTGTTTACTCTATTGATAGTTTATTTTGCTGTGGAGAAACTTTTTAATAAGTTACAACTTGTTAGTTTTAGGTTTTTTGCAGTTGCTCTTGAGGACTTAGTTTTAAGTTCCTTGCCAAGGCCCATGTGCAGAAAGGCATTTCCTTGGTTTTTTTCCCTAGGATTTTTTCAGTTTGAGGTCTTACATTTAAATCCGTAATCCATCTTAAGTTAATTTTTATGTATGGTGAAAAGTAGGGGTATAGTTTCATTCTTCTGCCTATGGCTAGCCAGTTATCCCAGCACCATTTATTAAACATGGAGTCCTTTCGCCTTTGCTTATTTTTGTTGAATTTGTCAAAGATCAGCTGGCTGTGTGTGGTTTTATTTCTGGGTTTTCTATTTTGTTCTATTGGTGTGTGTGTCTGTTTTTGAACAAGTACTATGATGTACTGTAGCTTTCTAATATAATATGAAGTTGGGTAATATAATGCCTCAGGCTTTATTCTTTTTGCCTAAGATTGCCTTTGCTATTGGGACACTTTTTTTTGGCTTCATATGAATTTTAGAATAGTTTTTTTCTAATTTTGTAAGAAACAACATTGATAGTTTCATAGAAATAGTCTTGGCTCTATAGATTACTTGGGGTAGTATGGCAATTTTTGTGACATTGATTTTTCTAATCCATGAACATGGAATGATTTTCCAGCAAAATTCTACTTTGAATGTCAGAAAGTAAATTACTTTTTATTTTTCATTACATTTGGGGATCAAAAGTGGTTTTTTGCTTTCCCAAATCTTTGAGAAAGTTTTAAGATTTTAAAAACAAAAAAATACTTAAAATTCATGTAGGAATTCCTATAGGATAATATACAGAATATTTTCTAATTACAAATTCAGTTATTATCAAGTACCTGTCATCAAGTGTTATGCATGTTTATCTCTTAAAAATAAAATGATTGATTTAGTTTCTTAATATGTTATTTGTCAACCAGTTCTGAATTTTGAAGAATTCTAGTCTTGGTCATTACGTTAAACTGGAAAATAATCTAATAAAGGTTACCTCATACCTAGAAACAAAACAAAACAAAAAGAAGGAAAGCCTTTGTACATGCTAACACTATGAATCTGTTACTTATAACTTGACACATTCTCCCAAAGTATTTGAAATTCAAGTACTGTAAATTCTATTATATATTACTTAACTGTCTTAAATCATTTAAGAAAGAAGTCTGGATAAATAGAAGTGTAAATTTTACTCTATATTTTATATCTGCTTTTTATTGAGGGGAAAAATTATATTGTCAGTTTTGCCAGAAAGCTCTGTATATCATGCCATGAACTTGACTGATGAATGTGATGGGCTTGTAGAGCTATTTCTTTAGTATTTGTTGAGCTAAGTCCCTGCATACTCAAATGGGAGCCCAAGCATCGTTATAATTCTCACTTAACTATATCATATATTTTAGAGCTAAGGTTGGAATAATGTTTTGAAACTGTGGCTTGATTATTGTTAATAAGATTTCTACACTTTCTGTATAGTCCTTGAATACCGTAAAAGAGATAGATAGATTATTAGAAAAAAGTTATGAAATAAGATATAAAATATAAGCTGTTATTAGTTATATGAATTTAAAATTATCTTGTAAGATAAATATTTAGTAAAAATAAATAAAAATTTTGAGTTAAATGTTACCCACTTCTTTAAGGTTGTGGATGTCAAGCAGTGATTTCTATTACACTTCTTGCATTTTCGACTTTGTATTAGGAAACAATTATGAAAGTAGCAAAACTAGACGAAATGTAACAACCACAAAGGTGCTGAGTCAGGAGAAATACTACACAAAATAAAGATGGAGTTACTGACTCCCAAGACAAAATCCTATTGTAGAAAAGAGATCAGAGAAAACATTTTAATAATTTATGCATACCTTATTAGGAATACCTTTTGAAATCTCTTTTTTAAAATATTCTAACCAGGTGCAATGTCCTTGTTTTGAAAGGTATTAGAGATATTTCAAAATTAGATGGAATGATAGCACATCCCTTGACTTCTATCTACACAAATTTTATAAAATACTTACCTCGTGTTGACATTGGAGCCTTTTGGGAAATTAACAACTCTGGAGGATTTAGAGACAAAACGAAAAGGAGCCTTTTGTGTAGACTTCCAAAATCTTGTATTATAAAAAATTCTGTAGAGAAATTATTTATTTGGAAAACAATATCTTTGTATAGTTTAATTGCTATAACTGCAAAAAAATGAAACGTAATTCTAATTATATGACTTACTTTTCATAGGCTACACTTGTGAGATTCACTTGTAAATTAATATCTCTGATTTTTTATTCTCCTTATTAATTTGGGAAATTGATCTTGATTTATAAACACTTGTGTAATTTAAAATTATATAATAAATATTTGATAATTTTTTCAGTTAGATAAGTTTTTTTCCACGAGATATTTTTAGTAGTGAATTGTTTTTCACTTTTCTATTTCATAGATGCCATCTTTATTGCAGTGTTTTCCGTCAGTACATACAATATATAGTACTTGAAGATTTTCTATCAGCTGTGTCGACAAGATATTCTGATATTCAAATACAGACACTTCCTTGTGGTGATTGTTATTTGGGTAATTTGAGAGCCCAGGAGTCTCAAACAAGAGTTGTACTTGTAGGATAACTGTTTCACTGCCTGCTCTTCTCTCTACTTTAGTTATGGAAAGAGGAGTTTTGGGTTCTGCCTTTGTGGATTTCACAGAAAAAGTATCTTCTGGGCCAAAGACGACTCAGACAACAGGTTTCCTTAAAAAGACTACAGAATTCTTCCTTTCCCCATGGGCTTTTCTTGTTTCCCCTTCAAACATGCTCACTTCCATCCCATGCCTTTTCCTGTGCTTAGTTCTCATAAAGGTACTTCCAAAATGTTGGAAAGTAACTTTAAAATCTTTTAATTTTTTTCTGCACCCAAGAATGCAGGAAGCTTTATTTTGGAAGCTCTTTACACATACTAAGTTAGCATTAAAAGATTAGTTCAGTTTGTTGCTTTCCAGGATCTGGCAGAAATAGAATTTTTGAATTTTTGAGGCGTGTGGCTACTTTGGGGGAAACTGATTGTGGAGAATCAATAGTGATATTCAAATCCAGAGGACCAGGCCCAGGAGAAATCCTTGTTGGTCCTGTGACTTGACATCCTAACTCAAGAGCAACCAGCTCTATTGGTTGTTCAAATTAAATGAAAATAAAGTCCTTAAAGCTTAAGTGGTTCAAAACTACATTATGAAGAGTTTTATTCATTTGTTTATTGCATTTATAAAACATGCAAGTTAAGTCACTTAAGGCTTACTAAGAGACCCTGACCTTTCAGAGTGTCTTTATGTGCAATAGTGAGTTAATTTGCTTTATTTTTTGTTTTGGTAATCAATTTTAATTAAAGACTGAACTATGTCAACAAACAAAACATATTACATAAAAACACCTGTCTTTCCATACTAGCTCAGGAGTGCTCTCCTGAGGGACACCAGTTTCTTCGGAGTCCTTATAGAAGTGTCCATTTTGACTCATGGCACCTCCAGCAGTCAGCCATTCAAGACTTAATATGTGACCATTCCCTCTCCCCCGGATGGTATAGATTTCTCATCTTTGACAGACCTGCTGAGATGCCAACCAAATGTGTTGAGGTATGTCAATTCCCGAATTACATGTGATATTCCTTATGTGTTTTTCATGTGAGAATTCTATCTTCTTACAACCAGCTTATTTCTCATGCGAAAATATTGTTTTAATTTTGTATAAGATTGAGTTAATCTGAAAGACTATTCCCACTTACCTAGTCTAATAATAATAGTAATAGTAATAGTAATAGTTAACGTTAGACTCCATGCAGTCCAAAAACACTTTTATTGACAATATCTTGTATAAGTTTACAATTCTAGGCTACTATCTGTCATCATTATTTCCATCAAACAGTGCAGAAAACATATATTCTTAGGCATAGTTCTCCTACAGTCACAGCTAGCAGGTGAAAAAGCTAAGTTTTGAATACAGGCAGTCATTCTCCAGGGCTAAGGGGCTTAGCCATATGACCTGCAAACAGTAAAATACTGTGTGTCTAAAGTGCTTCAGTTTTTGTCCGTTGTTGCCTGTCACTGCCTTTCTTAACTGATGGAATAAAACTTGCAGGCTCAGCACCTCCTATTCTAAGACTAATGAGAACCCAACCTGGCAGTAGAATCTCCAGGTATTTCGTGATCACAATTGGAAGACAGTGCACCTGCCGCACATTCAATACTCTGGAGGCATATGGCCTTATCTCACTGAAGCTCCCTCCTCAAACCCAAAATTGGTGCAGCCGCCATACCTCTTTTCTCTTTATAGTTGTGAACATACAAGCATATGTCTTTCAAACACATGAGATTTAATTTTGTCCATTTCTGAAATTTTACACATGAACTCACATCGGATGTGTTTTTTTGCAACTTAACTTTTCATAAACTTCACTCTTTTTTGCCACACAATATGATGATTCTGATCACAGCAGTGTCTTGTATAATGAACTAGCCCAAGTGGCTTCTTTCATTCTTATTTCATATGACAAATAGGTTTTCTTGTAAAATGCTTTTAAAAAAATAAGCAGAAGAAGAAACATAAAGTGTGATTCCTTGGGTTATCCCTCAGCTAACTTGTGTTACTTATCCAAGCCACTCTGAATTTTTATTGACAATTCTATTTATCCCTAGCATGATTTATAAATGCAAGTTCCCCTAATTCATTTATAGTCCCCATTCATCTGATACTGTCATGAAATAGACGTTATTTCTACTTATCATATTTTGACCAGATACCCTTTCAGTTCGACTCCTATTATTGCTACCACATTTTTATCCACATGATCTAAGGAATAAGACTAAGTCTAAATCTGTCAAAACACTAAGCCCATTAACTCAGCATCCTAAGTTATATAATCAAAATGGCAAGAAGGCTTTTAATCTGACATTTATTTTGCAACTTGTAAATTCCCTGCACTTGTGGACATTATTGCATATGTAAACTCACTAGTTCTCTCAGTGATGCTTTTAGGTAGCTAGTGTTACCTTATTATAAATATGTAGACACAGACACTAAGCTTCAGTCACAGGACCAAAGTCATGTTTCCAGCCTTCTCCCTTATCACAAGCCCCCATCTTTCTCAGCTGACTGGTTTCCCAAATGAGTTCTGCATAAACAGGTGTTCACTTGTGACATGTGTGACATGTAGCTAATAGAGACATTGTGTTATTCAAGAAATATGTCTGTGTCATGCTTGCCAAATTACTAAAGTATCCATCATCATTCACAATTTTATCCTATATAGTTATAATAACACTCATTGGATACGATTTCATTCTTAAAATTGGTTTTCTTTTAACATAGAGGACATGTGGCTACTATTGGCCCCTGGAGAGAGACTGCATCATTTAAGACTATGTCTTAGCAAAAGGCTTGCTTTCCTTATTGTTATTCACATTTTATGAATTCTGCAGAACCAAGAATCATTTTCCTTTTTAAGCACGGATACAAAAAGATCTCTGGAAATACATTGAAATTTTAACAATATTTTGTTGTAATGTGAGGCATTGTGGCTAAGTTTCATTTTCTCTTTTTTGTTTATTTGCTTATAAGTCACTTTTGTGACACTTCATTTGAAAGGAATTTAAAAAAATTCAGAATTTAAAAGTAAAGTTTGAGAAAATGGGAGGAGCTTCCTTCACCAATTAAAAAAATTTGTGTTTTTCTCTTAAGGCTGTTTTAACTGTAATTGTTCCTAGTCCCTCACACAAATGTGAAGGTGACAGTTTCCCTGGCTCTTTTCCTGGAGATCAGCTAACCTGAGCAGGCTGTGCTCCATGGAGGAAGTGTTCCCTGTCTCCACCCTCTCATTCACTTGTTGAACCAATACTTTAAAGCATTCAACCAGAAATCAAGAGAATTTTTTCTCTACAGGTTAATACATGTCAACTTACATAAATTATTATTGGTAATGTTTTAAATAATGCACGTGTATTACAGAAAGCTTAGGAAATAAAGACCACGAATGGAACAACATTTGTTCATAATCTATCCACACAGTCGTAACTACCATTATTAACATTTTGCTATTGTTTTATCTTATTTATATTTTGTAGTGTTCATGTTATATATTCAATGGAAAACATGCTATTTGTTTTCAGTTAGGGCTATAGCGTTATCATTTTCCTGTTATTAAAAATTCATTTCTATAATTAAAAAAATACAATGTCATACATATATCATATTTATTTAAACCATCACCATATGCGTGCATGTTTAGGATTTTGCCACAATAAGTAATTCTGTAATTAGCAAATGTACATGTAATTACTGTTTTAATTTTAGTGTGTTTAGTTAGATTGATTTGTTAAGCTAGTGATGGTTCAAGTCTTTTTGAGGCTTTTGATACATATACTTGTTCATTTAAAACATAATAATTTTTAATTCCAATAGCAGCACATAAAAATACCTTTTACAATACTGAATATTCTCATATATATATTATATATATATTAGGCATTTGTATTTCTTTTGTGAATTATGTATTTGTACATTTTGCCCATTTGCAGTCTTAGAGTTTTCAAAGGAGAATGGATAATATTACATGGTTAAAATAACAAATATAATAGTATAATTATAAATAAATATAACACACTTAATATTGTACTATTTTCATGTAATTTTCTTATTTAACTTCCATCTTACATTTTTAAAATTATAATTCAACCATATCTATCAATATTTCCTTTATGGTTTTCTTTTTTGCTTTTAAGCATAGCAGTAATAATAAGAATTATAACCTGGCTAATGATTTTTGAGCCATTGCTATGTAGAAGTTGTAGTATATACATTATTTTATCTATACCTCACTATGGCCCTTTGAGGTGGGTACTGCTTCTACCTAATATAAAAGAGAAGGATGTTGAGTGCCTTGTCCATGATCATGCATTTAGTAAGGGCCCTAGTTCTTCCCAAGTCATACATAGTTTCTTCTTGTTTTTCCTGGGTTGTTTTTCTATTTAATTCTATTTTTCATCTTGATAATTTAATTCTATTTTTAATTTAATTGTATTTTTCATCTTGAAAATGAGTTGATAATTGACTTCAAGTGAGATTTAAACTTTATTATTTCTAAATTACTGAACAACTTTCTACCACCAGATTTTGAGCAATACTTTCCTTCCCTTGATTTTATTGCCTCCTGAACTATGAATTAACTTCTTGTATATACTATTTCAAGCAATTTTGCAATAGCTTTCCAAGATCAGTTTTTTTTTTTTTTGTGCTATGTGTTAAAATAACTTGAGATGGACTTGTCATGTTTTAGACTGTATCGGCTATTTTAGTATGATACCTGAGATTTAATTTCTCTTGTTTACAATACCAACATAATGAATGGAATAAATGTATTAGTATTTACATTGAATGAGTATGTTAATTATGAGATGACTACTCTCAAATTTAGTATTCTTTAAAACTACCTTTTCTTGTAAAGAATAGGTGCAAGTCATAATTTTTAATGATTAATAATATGTTAATGGTTGATTAGAAGAAAATGCAAAGTTAATATATCTACAATCTATGAAAATAAACTGAATTTTTAACTCTTGTTTTCTCTGTTGCGAAAGATGAACCGTTGTGGAACTCAGGCACCCATCTGGCTGTCTCTGAGAGATTCAGAAACACTGCCACCTCCTGGGGAGATGAAGCAATTGTCAGCTTGTGCCACATGGCAGTTTTTGTTCAGTGATACGAAAGACTGCTGTCTGTTTCAAATCCCAGTGTCTGTAAGGAACTGTGGGAACTTTTTTGTGTACTTACTACAACCAACTCAGGGATGTATGGGCTATTGTGCGGAAGGTAAGAAAATGTCAGTAATTCGCCTGACTGTTACTCATGGAACTCTGCCATTTGTACCATTCTCTGGATGGGTTGTATTGAGCTAGTGCAAATCTCAGCAAGATACTTGGTCTACCGTTATTGATAGATTGAAGCTAAATTTCTGTTTACATTGGGAAGATTTCTTCAGGATTCTTTGCCAAGATTGTAAAGTCCCCCCAAATATTTGATGTGAAAGCATCAAAGTAGATATCTCACATTTTTCCACTGGATATAATGATTGTGTTAAAAATTCTTTGGTTTCCTCAAGTCCATTCATGAGTAAAAGTTATCCAAAAAATATACATTTTATATTATTTCATCTTTCATTCACCAGTATGTATTGAATGTTTATCCTGTACATAAACATTTAAATATAAATGTTTATCCTGTAAAGAAATTCTTTTTTTTTTTGAGACGGAGTTTCGCTCTTGTTACCCAGGCTGGAGTGCAATGGTGCAATCTCGGCTCACCGCAACCTCCGCCTCCTGGGTTCAGGCAATTCTCCTGCCTCAGCCTCCTGAGTAGCTGGGATTACAGGCACGCACCACCATACCCAGCTAATTTTTTGTATTTTTAGTAGAGACGGGGTTTCACCAGGTTGACCAGGATGGTCTCGATCTCTTGACCTCGTGATCCACCCGCCTCGGCCTCCCAAAGTTCTTTAAGGCCTCAGAGTTACAGTGATGAGCCAGATAAATGAGCTCTCTGTCTTCGTGAAACTTATTCCAATAGGATGCTTCAGACAATATCTAAAAAGAAATTGAATATTATTCAAAGATTAAAATAAATAACCCTCAATCCTTTATATAAATATGTGAAAAGATAAATAGAGGCAAGGAATCAAGCTTCTTTAAAGAAACTTTATTTGTAAATATTTGTAGCTACTACTTTACCTAAAATATTATGCATAACTCCCCTCATTTTGATTGCTGGTTGCATTTGAGTTGTTTCCAAATAATTGTGTATGACAATGAAAGAAACTAGCAATTTTACAGTGGAGAAACCCGGCAGACATTACATTAATCAAGTGATCAGCGTTAACGTTATGGTGATAATGCATGTTGATATCACATGTATCCTGAAAACATGCAAAAAGAAGAGCCCTTCTCTTTTGTAGTACTCTTTCCCCCAAAACATAATCCTAGTCTAATCATGAGAACGTTTATATAAACCCAAATTAAAGAACATACTAACAAAATACCTGAATAGCACACTTCAAAAATGTCAAAACTACACAAAACAAGAAAGAATAAAAAATCGTCACAGAGTAGAAAATGATGAATAACACAATGGGATATCCTGGATTCAATATTGCTAAAATCTGAAAAAAAAATGTATAAAATGTCCAATCTCAAAAATTATTTTGCTCATTATACCTTTGGAATTTAAATCAGTATTATTAGAAAAAATTGATTCCTTTAAATTTCTAGCATTCTTATCTTCAGAAATCTGTTACTTGATGCCAGCAGTAATAATAATAATTATAATAAATTTTCTCCTATGGCTAATTATTACTTTGAGTTGAAAATGCAAAACAAATATTTTAGTATTTTGATGAGTCTGTAATGCAATCTTTTTTCTTAAAAACAATGACACACACTCCAATTTCACATTCTGTCTTTAACTACCCTTTTATTTCCAAATGACCTCTAAAGTTGATATAAATCATTGGCTGTAATCTCCAAGCAAATAAGGTGTTATCATCTACTTTACATGATAATAGAAGCTAAGAAAAATAATGTTCTCAACTTATAATTTTATTTCATTATTTTGGAATGCATACTAGATTTATGGAAAATGTAATTGTTTAGATATACTCTATCATTAATTTCAAGTCAGTAGTTCCATCTTTAAAAAAGGAATAAGGCAAAGTTATTGTTTATTATTATAATAAGATCAAAATAATAAACGTAAAATGTATTAGGTTCAAATAAGTATTTATTGATGGTATTCCACAAGTGTAATAATAACACATGAATTATTTTACACATATGTACTGTTGGAGTCATGCTTATTTTCTAACCAACACAGCATGTCCTTAGTATGTAGCGGTGTCCAAAATAAATGTGGTCCCTGCCCTCATAGCACAGAGTATTCATGCAATTGTAAATTGCAGTTGATGGTATGAATGTAAAGATTAAAAATTGCTGTGGAAGAGAATACTGAAGGTGAGAGAGGATGAAATATATAACGAAGCGTCATCAGTGAAACGTCTAACAAAGGGGCATTGATGCTGGGAGCTGGAGGTTACACTGTCCTTGGTCAGACAAAAAGTGAGGGGAAGAACAGCTCAAACAGCAGCTGTAGCAATCGACAGGCCCTTAAGGCAATAAGAATATGCTGTGCTCACAGGAGGGAAAGCCGGACAGAAATATTAGCTCTCAGTGAGGGAGGGAGAACATAACACGTTGTGGGTTTGAAAGGGCAGCAAGGCCTGATCATTTAGGGAGCTCTGTGTTTTGTTCTGTGTGCATTGAGAGGTCTGTGGAGAATTATCCTGAGGGAGTTAGCTGGTAAACCTTCACATTCCATACACAGCTGCTGTCCAGCTAAGACTGGCAGTCTGTTTACTAAGAAAGGGCAGCATCTGCTCAGTTTAGTATAGCTAGTGCCATTCATTAGGAAGGAGAAAATCCAGAGAGATGCATCAGCCTCGTTGGGTGGTCAAGACAAGAGTTTTTAAAAAACTAAAAAAATATTTTTTGGCATTTTTGTCATAAAAATACTTAATTTTTATTAATCTTTCTGTAATATCACCAAATATTTGTGGAAAATTCTGTGTTTCATGGAAAAACCAATGATTTATCTATATTAGTTTAGAAACACTGACAACTATTAAAAAAGAAAACTTTTTTCACAGCAGGGAATACCATAAAATTCAAAAACTCACTTCACCAGAAATATTATTTTTACCCTCAATTTAACAACATAATATTTAAAATTTGCACTTTATGACATCCCCTACAAATTTAAAGTATTTTCTGTTTTGTTAGTATCACGACCATCCACTCAATTTCCTAACCCAGAACACTCAAAAGTACCTCATAATCTCCACCTTCAAGTCCTCTAAGTATTTGGGGAGAAGGAATTCTGGGAGACAAATGTTATTTTTTGCTCTTAATGTCTGTTAACCAGCCATATGCATGAATTATTCTTTCTGATTTGCTGATAGAAACTTGCCTTAAAACACCATTTAGGACTTGAATTAGACTGCATAGATAGCTAACAAAAATGACAGTCACTTAATCTACTTAAAGAGTTTCTTTTTCTTGCTGACCAAATATCTGGAGCAGGTGTTCTCTGCTGATGGCGATTTGGCCACTTTACAATGTCAGGCTGAGGTCTCTGTGAGTCACTAATCTTTTCCTTCATGGTGACAGGAAGAAGCTCCAGTTTTAGCCTTTTTATCTGCATTTAGACAGGATAAAAGGGAAAGTTCAAAAGGTGAAAGAGAGCTTCTACTAACTGAAACTTACTCCCTTTTAAGGAGCTTATTTGGAAAAAGCCTTCTTATCATAACTACTTTAGAAGAATTCCCAGGCTTATCTCTATCTTCAAAGTCACTTTTTACTTGAACGTATTGCTGTCTATAGCTCTTATCTAGCTAAGAGTCATAATATTTAACTTTAAAATCACCAAAACAGCAGATAGTAGAGAGCAAAATTCCACTTTAATAGCATGGTCTCCTGGAGACATTTTGATTCTCACATATTTCATATATATTTGTATATATTTGCATAATTTATCCCTACAGCCTTCTAGAAGTCAAATAAGAAAAAAAAATTAATTCAAGATCGTAATTGTTATCACAGCCACTCTAATGGTGATTATATATTTGCAATATTACTTCTTTAAAAGAATCCATGGAAAAATACATATTTGTTATATTTTTTGTATTTCTAGTTAGCAAGCTAGTTAGATCCTTACACTACATGTGAGGTGGCATCATATCAATTAAAATTAGCCTATGTTAAAAATGTATACTGTATGCTCTATATCTTCCACTAAACTAAAACAAAAAATTATAGCTAATCAGCCAACAAGGGGTATAAAATAAAATCATAAAATATATTCCATATTTCTTAATGCAGATAAAAATGAAAAATAGAACAAAGCATTAATAGATCAAAGAGAACATGGATAGCAACATGGTGGATTTAAAACTGACAACATTGTTAAATAATTGTGTGTACTTTTAATTCTACCATGTTGCTATATATATGACATATATATACAGATATTATGTTGGAACAAAAGTTATATATATAAAAATATATATAATATATATGATCTAAACACCCCAACTGAAAAGCAGAAATTGCCAAATTGGGTAAAAATGCAAGTCCCAACTATAGATGCCTAGAAAACTCATTTAAAATATAAGAAAAATGAATTCAAATGTATGAGGATAGAAGAAGACATACATAGGTAACATTAATCACACGAAATGTTGAGTGGCTATATTAATATTTAAGCATAGTTGACTCAAAAGCAAAAAATATTCCTAGGAAAAACAAGGGTCATTTCCTAATAACAAAATGTTCAATTTAATAAAAGACTACAACAGTTCTAAATGATTAAACAATAACGAATTCAAAGTATGTAAACAAAACTGATAGACCTGCAAGAAGAAATAAACCAATTTGCTATTGTTACTGGAGATTAAGACCCATCTCTCAATAATTGATCAAGCATGTAGAAACTAAAACAGCAGAAATGGAGCAGAACACTCTTTCAGCCAATTTTATCTAAATGACATGTAGAAAATATTTCATAAAACAGCAGCATAGATGTTCTTTACAAGTACATATGAAAATATTAGCATGAAAAACCTTGTTCTCAGTCCAAAATTAAGAAAATTAGAATATCAGAAAAAATTGAAGTTTATTAAAATTAAAACCCACTTAGTCTCTACATTGGACAAGAAAAGTCACAAATTGAAGACCCGTTTGTACATTAATTAGAACAAGAAGCACAAATGAGACTCAGAGTAAGCAAATGAAAGAAAGTAGAGCAAAAATAAATGCAATAGAATATACAAAAACATCAGAGAAAATTCAATAGAATAAAAAACTGGTTATTTCAGAAATTAAATAAGATTAATAATTATCGAGCTGGTCTGATTGGTAAAAAAAGAAAAAAGACAAGACAGAAATTACCAATATCAAAGGACATGATATTAAGATGTCAGTTCTTCTCAAATTGATCAATAGTTCCAAAATTGTCCTAATGAATATCACACCAAGCTTTCTTGTAGAAATTGACAAACTTATTCTAAAACTCATATAGAAATATGAAGAACCTATAATACCTAAAACTATTTTGATAAAGAAAACAGTTACAATGTTGTAGACAATGTAGTATTTGCAAGAGGATAGATAAATAAATCAATGGAAAAGAATAGCGAGCCCAGAAAAACACCAACACACAATAACTGATTTTAAACACAAGAATAGATCTAATTCTATAGAAAAATGGGTTGTGTTTTTGGTAAATTGAATATCCATATGCAAAAAATAACTGATTCATGTCTCATCAACATACAATAAAAAGAAAAATTAGCCTCACCATCATCAAAGACTCAAATCTCAATTATAAAAGGTAAAAATACAAAACTTGAGAGAATACTTTCACATTTAGGTGAAAATATTTGTGATCTTAAATTAGACAAATATTTTTAAAATATAATACCAAAATTGTGATCCATTAAAAAATATAAATTGGACTTGATCAAAATTGTGAATTTCTGCTCTTCTGCTCATTGAAAGACACTAAAGGAAAATGAAGAGACAAGCCATAGCTTAGGGAAAAATATTTGCAATTCATATATGTATCTGATGAAGAATTAGATCCAAAATATATGAGTAACTTTCAAAACCCAATAATAGGAAAACAACTTTGTAATAAGATTTGAACAGACACTTCTCCAAAGAACATAATAATAGAAATTTGGCACATAAAAATATGCTAAACATTAGTCATTAGTGAAATGGATTTATATCCACAATGAGATACCATTATATTATATATAAAATTAAAAATATTGACTATACTACATGATGGTGAGGCCATGGAGCAGCCAGAACTGTTGTATTCTGCTAGTGGGAGTATAAAATGATACATTCAAACATTAGAAAATAATTTGACAGTTTCTTGAAAAGTAAACATTTACGTCCATATGACATAGCCATTCCATTCTTATGTATTTACCAAGAGTAATAAATGCAAATGTTTTAAAGAGGTTTTCTACATGAATGTTCAAAGCAGCTGTATTCAAAATAGCCAAAACGTGAAAAAAAAACCAAAAACAAATATCCATCAATGAGTTAATGGATAATCAAATTATGATAAGCCTGTACAATGAAATACTGCTCTCCAACAAAAAAGGAAGGACTATATTTGTAGGATGGTTTCACTGTAAGAAAAAAGAAGAAACTATTGATAAACCTAAAACATAGATGAATCACAAACATATATGTGGAGTGAAATTTTCTAGACATAAAGTCCATAATGTACAATTATATAAAGTTCGAGAAAATATAATCTGAACTATATGACAGAGCCGATAAGTTGCTGTCTATGAACGTGGAGGAGCGGCAGGCAGAAGGTTTAAAAAAGGGTAGAGAAACTTTTGGAGGTGATGGAAATACTGTTATCTTGATATGGTTAAATTTTAGTGGTGTATTCATGTCAAAACATGTCATTAATTACACTTTATATATATTCAGTCAATTGTACCTCAGTAAAGTTATTTAAAAAGAAGGAAACAAAGTCCCAATGATAAGCACACCACATAGCCATCATGTCAGAGTAGAGCAAGAGCAAAGACCCCTAGGAAAGAGTTTTTCTAACATGTTGGAAGGATGTAGATGAGGCCGTTGTGTGAGAATTGGATGCATGCAATAAAAATCCCTATTCTGTGGACATAAAGAGTCGCTCAGAGAAAATAAGCACTTGCCCAACATCACAGGTAGTGACTAGTAAAGTTAGATTGATCTCTGGAAGCCTGCATCCTGATTATCTTCAACGAGGATACTCCGCAACCTGTTATTGATGTCTTGCTAGTTGGAGTTTTCTGCTCCATTCTCTTCTCCATGTCTTATACTTGTTCCTCCCTCTGCTTGGACCTCATACAAACCTTTACTGCTTCATGATGGAGATCAGGCATCTCTTTTCTTTACAAGGTTCCTTGTGTTAACCCAAGTTAGTTGTGCAGCCCAGCAATGTCCCACTACTTTACAGAGGACCTCAAATGTTGCACATCTTACATGTTTTGAAACTAGATTTCTGCTTGTTTGCTTCCTTTCTTGAGAACTACTGCTTTATGATAGTTTAATCATTGGCATATGGTTGAATCAGGAAGAACTAGATTTTAAGCAGAATGGCTTCTTTTTTTTCTTTGCTAATGTTTCTTGAGATTCTTAATTGTCTAATCCTAATATTAAGTATTTGAGCCAGGAAGCAAATAGAAGGAAGAAGAAAAGACAAGGAAAACCCCCAAATGCAGATGGGGCACACTTTTAGGGAGCGCTTGGCTAAGGGAATAATATATTTTGGCCCATGTTTTATAGGAATGCTGCATTCTTTTATATCTGCATGTATATGTCTAATAGTAAAGGTTATTTCAAATCTGCTTGGCTTGCATATAACAAAAAAAAAAACAGAAAATAATGTAAAAGATAATCACATCTAAGAGTTTTAGGATATGTCATTGGATCTGAAGAAGAGTTACATAGGAAAGACTCAGAAAGTGAGAAATAGATCAGCTTCCAGATATTGGCAACAGCAGTCTAAACATTCATATAGAGCTCCGTCATTAACTTGACTCAGCTTCCAACTTCTTGTCTTTTAGTTTAAATACTAAATTCTTTCAAGAAGCAATCTGATGAGCCTATCTTTGTTCAGGTAGTTGCTCTTGTACCAATTACCTGAATTCAGTACTTTGGGTTGTAAATATCACCACCTCTGTCCTTGGCTCATTGGTGGTGTAATCCTGTAAATGAGTATAGGGGAATTGATTTCCAAGGAACTGGCATAAAACCAACTGTTGTATACATTTCTGGGGACTATAGTGTGTTTCATTATTATTATTATTATTTGAGGTGGAATTTCTCTCTTGTTGCCCAGGTTAGAGTGCAATGGCGCAATCTCAGCTCACCGCAACCTCCGCCTCCCAGGTTCAAGTGACTCTCCTGCCTCAGCCTCCCGAGTAGCTGGGATTACAGGCGGGCACCACCATTCCTGGATAATTTTGTATTTTTAGTAGAGATGAGGTTTCCTCATGTTTATCAAGCTGGTAGTGAACTCCCTACCTCAGGTGATCCTACTGCCTCAGCCTCCCAAAGTTATGGGATTGTAGACCGGAGCCACTGCGCTTGGCTGTGTTTCATTATTACTATAGATTTCCCATAGACCCCATAAATCCCCCACATGAATAGTCCCCCAACCCCATTGTTGACATCCCCCACCAGAGTGCTACATTGACACACCACTGTCACCTAGTCTGCAGTTTACATTAGGGTTCACTTTTGATGTTGTACATCCTATGGGTTTGGACAAATTTCTCATAACATGTATCTACTATTATAGTAACATACAGACTAGTTTCACAACCCTAACAATACCCTATGCTCTGCCTGTGCACCCCTCCCTCCTCTCAACCCTAGACAACCACAGCCCTTTTTACTGTCTCCATAATGTTGCCTTTTTCTGGACTTCATACAGTTGAAATCATTTAGTAGGTAGCCTTTTCAGATTGGCTTCTTTCACTTAATAATCATTCATGTTTCCTACATGTCTTTTTGTGGCTTGTTAGCTCATTTCTTTTTGAGGCTGAATAATATTCCATCCTGTCTATATGTACCACAGCATATCCATTCACCTGCTGAAGAGCATCATGGTTGCTTCCAAGTTTGGGCGATTATGAATAAAGTTGCTATAAACTTCCATATGCAGGTATTTATATGGAAATAAGTTCTCAACTCGTTTGGGTAAATATAGAGGAGCATGATTTCTGTGTCATTTGCTAAGAATATGTTTAGTTTATCAAGAAACCACCCACTAAACTGTTCTCCAAAATAGCTGTACCATTTTGCGGTCTCACTGGCACATATTGTTCCACATCCCTGCCAGCACTTGATATTGTCAGTGTTTCATTATTCAAAAAATGCAGATTCATACTTAGAAAATAAGATATTAAAGCTTTGATTGTTTTGAAATATGATCCCTTATCATTTCCATTTGATCTCACCCTTAAAAGGAAACACTGTGTTATGAAATAAGAGAAGAATTAAGAAAGTCTTAGTCTGTATGAAAACATCCTTCAATAAATTGTCATCTTGGATATATGTAGATTTGTATCTTCATGCCCACTTGAGTAAATATACAAACCTTAACCTTTGGCAGCTATTTCTGATGCACAGTTATACCCATGTGGCCCTGATGAAACTGAAATAGGAGGTGATTGTGTTGGTAAGTATCATATTTTGCTTTTTAATAATGTATTTATAAACTAGACCATTTCAATGGGTATTATATTCTGCAGCTTTGGATGTTGAATTATGTTGATATTTCACATAACTAAAGTCTGGTAGATATCAAAAATATAAATAACTTTATCATGCCTTTAAGAAATAGTCCTTGAGTTGGCAGAGGTATAGAGAGTTAGGCAAATGTGTACATATTGGTGGAATCATTCATAAGAAAATTTGGCAGTTCATATCAACATTCTTAAAACTCTGTATGTGCTTGTGCCTAAAAATTCTACTTTCAAAAATATGTCTCAGAGAGCTATTTAAGGAAGTGTGCAAGCACAATATTTATAACAAGGCTTGTCTAATAATTGTTTAAAAAAACCTGCAAATATCCAATAACTGCTGATTGATTGATTCAGTATTTCTGATACATAAATAATGACAAAACATTTCACAAACACCAATAAAATATAGGAGTGCATTATACAATACTACAATACTTTTTCTTTTAAGGGAACAATTGTATTTGTATCAAATAAATCTTGAAAGATAAACAAACATCAATAATGTTAATTAGTGATCAAAATTTTTCTCTTCCTTTCAATGTATACTTTTTATTTTCTATTTTTTAAATGTTTTGAAGTCTTTCAAATATTAAGAAATCCTCCTACTATAATATGCTTTAAAATAAATTAAGTAGATTAAGTGATAAAATGTCTGTCTTCTACCTACATGTTGGGCAGAAATTGAAATTATTTATTGAAACATTAGCATTTGTATGGGATTATTAGACTTATTATATTTTCTGTTAGACAAATATGATATCTGAAATGCACGAGAGACTGTTGACAAATAATTAATTAGCAGAGGTGTTTTATATGGTGGAACAAGCCATAAATACTTAAAATAAATCAGGATAGATCATATAATGTTCAAATATCAAGCCTAAAAATTATTATGCTAGGTATTTTTAAAAGACTTTTGTAATAATCTATAAAATTATCACTCCAAATTGATTTTTCATGCTCCATTTGATATCCTATTCCAAATGGATTTTCTAGCCTCTTTTTTTCTGTATATTTTAAATAAGGTATTATTATATCTGAAGGTCAATTTAATTAAGCCCTGTGATTTAAGTTCGTAAAACAATAAAACAATATTCATAATAGCAACATTAAACATAAAATGTAATTATTTGACTACTCTGCGTAATAGATGTAAATTCTCTTTATAATGTATATGTATTATAGCAAAATCACTTTTTTCTCTTGAATAAATAATAAATTTCACCTACCTTTTATGCTCTTTAGAACATTTATGCAATTAATTGAAAACAGAAAACCCTGCTATGCAAATTGAACACAATTTGGGGAAGTAACACTAAATGAAAATATTGAGTCAAAAGTCAACAGATCAAGCTTCGTGACAAAATGTATTAATATATTTAATACATACAAACATTAGAATTGACAAAGAAATAATAATTTTGATTTTCTAAGCAGAAATAATTTGTCTGTTGTTTTTAAACCTTTTTATTTAAATATAACAACTTTTCTTTGATCTTTACTGTTGCAAGCAGTGATCAATCTGCCCATATAGTTCTTTATTCAAAATACTGATTCAAAATTTTAATTGTCATGAATATTTTTTCAGTCATTGGCCTTCTCTTGTTCTTAATAATCATTTCCATAGGCAGCTTTTCCCTGTTTTAAAATAAATGTCCTTTCCTTAATTTATTTAAAGAGAAATTTTTACTCAGATACATAATTAAAAAAATAAAATATATATTCAAAAGTAGTTTATTATTTCCTAAAAGTTTGAATATACTGATTTGGTCTAATGTTTAAAATGTTTAGCAAAATATTTGTTAACTAGGTAAATTTGAAAATAATTCATTTGTCATTGAGACTATAACAAAATAACACTAAAATATCTAAAAGTACATTTTCTCCACAGGAAATATTTTAAGGTCTTCTTAGAATTTTCCAAAATATATATGGCAAGGCTGAAAGATTAGTTTTTTGATTGTCCAAAAATTAGCATATATGCAATAGAAAAATTATACATTTTAGAACATTTTTAAATCTTCTTTTAAAAATTTATCACTCAGATATTTTTCTACTTTCTAAAACAGAACAAAACTAAACAAAAACTTATTCAGAAAACTTTCAGATCCCCAGATTTGATTTTGCAAACACCCAGAGTTCAAAATTATAACATCTTCCTGTGAGTTCCTAGAGGAAACTTCCAGTTTCTTTAATCTCAGAAAAATGAAAAGAATAAGATTACTGTTTAACACTTGATATATTTCACTGAGCTAGTATTATCACCTGCACAACCCAACTCTTTCAACCCAGGATAATGTTGAGTTGAGTTTTAAGAGAAAACTATTAGAGTAAAAGAGAAAGTCATTTGATTTTACATTCTTGTGACTGTTTCTCATTTTAACAAGGAATTGTAATATACTAAACCTTAATTTTGTTTGTTCCGTCTTTTAGAAAAGTTAATTGCTTCAAATAATGCAAATTTCTTTTTAAGAGCTAGACTTTTCAAAGGCAGATATTCAACATACATTAATATAAGCTTGAGCTGATAAGTTGCTTGGTTATCGATATGTGTGTGATTGTGGCTTAGAATGTGAATGTATTACTTTGTTGATTGCTAGAAGTAATCATTTTTTCTGAATTTAGTTTGCTTTTTCTTAAGATGAAGGCCAGCGTCATAGTCCTTGAGTGCTTTTTCCATAGGCTAATCTCCATTCTGTTGGGTTCCTAATTACTTATTATGCACTTTCTACTTCCAGGTCACCTGGCTGCCCCATTTCCACCTCCTCCTGCAGGAAGGCCGGAGGTTCTGGTGGAGGTGATTGAGTCCAGGCTTTTCTGTAGATGTTCTTTTGATGTTCCCCCTACAAACAACTCAGTGGGATTTTACATAGCTTGGTCTAGGCTTTCTTCTCAAGAAGTCAAAGAGGAGCTGAAACAAGAGACCACAGTTCAGGCATTCTCTCTTTTAGAACTTGATGGCATAAATCTCAGACTTGGAGACAGGGTATGTTAATAAACAGTTGGATTTTATTTTCATGAATGTATTGATTTTCAAACACAATTAAAAAATAATAATATCCTTAAAAGTAGATTTTGTGTCCAGAGTATAAAGCACTAATATTTTTCTTTTTGTTTTTCTTCTTGCAATTGTGCTAATTTTAGTATAATTGCTGGATGTGTCAGTGATGTTAGTGACTATGAATATCTCATTTTAGTAACTTGCTAATTATTATTGATTAATCCTTACATATATATATATATATATGTCTCCTTCAGGTTTTAAAATTATATGCATTTATTCTAGAAAAATGTTTTAATTTTTTAAAAGATGATATCACTTTTTAAGTAAAATTATATACATTTATTCTAGAAAAATGTTTTAATTTTTTAAAAGACGATATCACTTTTTAAGTACTTTTTAAAACATCCTAAATACAAAGCCTACTATACTTGATGTTGAGGTTTGAATAAGTAATATTTTATAATGATGGAATTTTTCTCAAATTTCAAGCAAGCTTTTAAATTATTTAGTTATATTATCTCTATATACTATCTATGAAGAATTAAAATTAGGATGTAAAAATGATAATTTACACATTTTCTCCAAAATTGAATTGCTAAGTGATTATTTTTAAATTATATCCATAGATACTCTGTCGTGCTTCTGTTTTTTTCTTGGAGAATCCACATGTACAAAGTATAGCCATTGAAAGCCAAGAATTTTTTGCGGGCATTAAGGTACGTAGCAGTGGGGATGCATCAGAAAGATTATTCTTCTGGAACTATTTTTCCCAAATTATGATCTGTCCATGCTGATTTCTGTACCTCATCACAGACTGAATCAGAATGTTGAGACCCACGAGTTTCTATATTTGAAGAAAAGCCCCAATAATTCTAATGTACAACAAAGTTTGAGGACCCTTGCTAACTAAAGTTGAGATGTACTTTCATTTAAAGAAATAGCTCAAATTAGAATAAAGCAAAAGGTCTATTCCTCTAATTCATTCCATCATGTAACTAAAGTTAGCCTAGTAATATTTAGTTATCATGCACTTTGGAAGACAGATACAAGGACAAGAGGTAGAGTCTCTGATTAGCACAGAATTGACCCAGAGCTCTGAGTTTTAAGGACTGCAAATGTAACTGGGGTTTTTCTTGGGTGCTGGTGAGGCACAGCACCCCTGAGAGAATGCTGTGGGTTCTTGGTCTCCAACCTCTTAAAGAATAAGCGATGAGACCACTGCAGGTGTGCTGTATGCTTGTAAAAGTAAATATCGGACCCAAGAAGTGTTGCAGAAAGGTGATTTTATTTAGGGAGAGAAAAGAGAAGAAAAGGAGAAGAAGAGAAAGGCTTCCACGAAGAGTGTGGAAGAGGATTCCAGAGGGGAAATCCCAGAGGGGAAAGGGAGCTACCTCCATGTGGGAGGGGATTCCAGAGAGCTGGAAATCTGGCGTGGGTGAAGGAACAGAGGAATTTATCCTGGGAGAGATTCCCACCTTCCCAAGTTCCTCTGGCCAATGAAAGGAGTTCCTTAGAACTTAAAAATGATTGACTTTTAGTTTCTTCCCACGCCCATGAAATTCAAACATAAACCATTAAATCTCCTGGATGGAGAGGGATGGGAGTGGGGCATGGTGCTGGGAAATCTTGCCCTTAAAACTATGCCCCATCATGTATTGGGAAAGAGAACACTTTCCCTCTCAAAGACTGAGCTAACTGAACAGAGAAGTACATTTGGTTGTTGCCAGTAGCACCAGGATCCAAGAACTCAAGAGCTATTCTAGCAGATGAGCAGAGGTGACAGGGAATTACTAAGCGGTGGAAGGAGTAGGGGCAATATGAAAAGGTCCAGGCAGGCAAGCCCTGTGGACCTGGAAGGTCTCACCCACAGGACTCAGGTTTGACCTGGACTCATTTCTAGTTCAAGGGTAAGATAAGATAAATGGTAAGGTTGTGAGAATAGGACTTAGGACCAGGATAAACCCTGTTGATGAATAAAGTCCATGTACACACATTAGGAACCAGGAGAAGAAGTGAGAATTGCATAACTGCAGTGTGAGGGGAAGCAGAGGTCAATCCTTGGGGACATAGGAACATTTTGTTCTACGTTGGTTAGCACTCAGCAGACAATGTCAGGTGTCAACAATGGTCAGCACCCCCATCCCCATACTGATTCTGATTAGGCTAACAGGGAGAATATTCAGTACTAAGAAACATCTGTTTTTCTTTTTCTTTTCTTTCTGTTTTTTTTTTTTTTTTTGAGACAGAGTCCTTATCTATTGCTGAGGCTGGAGTGCAGCAATGCTATCTCGGCTCACTGCAACCTCCACTTGCCATGTTCAAGCGATTCTCCTGCTTCAGCCTCCTGAGTAGCTGGGACTAGAGGGGCACACCACCATGTAGCTATTTTTTTATATTTTTAGTAGAGATGGGTTTCACCATGTTGTCCAGGATGGTCTCTATCTCCTGACCTCATGATCCACCCGCCCCGGCCTCCCAAAGTGCTGGGATTACAGGTGTGAGCCACTGCAGCCCGCCAAAACCAAGACTCGAGACTGCATGAAAATATTCCTGCCTCAAAAAAGGATTGGTCTGTGAATGAGAATAGGGCCAGTCCTGGGTTGCAGCAGTACTCGGGAAATCCAGCTCTGGAAATCAGATGCTGAGAAAATAGGCTAAGTGTTGAGATATTTCAGGTGACAACAGTAATTTGATTTATATATTAAAAATACTTAAATTTCTAATTGAGAAAGTGAGTATCAATCCCTAAGAAAAACGAGGCTCTTCAGTTTGTATGTCAGTAAACATTAGTATAAAATGGAAGAAAATAGAAAGATTTCTTTCTCCTTCACTTTCCGGTGCTCACCACAGAACCAGAATCATCGAGGCAGGCTTGGATATGATTTGCCAAACATGCGTTGGGAACCCAATTGAATCTAAACTCAGAGCAGTGCAGCAACTCCATGTATACCTGTGTGTGCTGCTTGTATTTTTATGGGTTTGATTTTAATGGTCCTGCTTAGTTAAAACATTCCAGGGCTTAAGTTATTACCAGCTCTTTAAGCAAAATATGTGCTGTCGAGAAAATGCCCTTTCAAAATTATACCTTAGAATTAAGTTATATTTTAACATAACTTTTCTACATATTTTTTCATACCAGCTACAGCCTGAATTGAGCACTATATCAGAGGATGGGAAAGAATACTACCTGAGGATAGAAAGCACAGTTCCTATTATTTGTTCTGAATTTAGTGTGCTTGATCAAGAATGTAAAATCTCATTAAAACTGAAAACTATTGATCAAGGTAATATACTGACTTCATTTAATCTTATTATTAGATTTCAAACAATAATTTTTTTCCTGTAAGAAAAGTCACTGGAGTGTACTCATATAATAAATCACGTTGCATGTTGACATCAAATTTTAGCTCAATCATATTACTAACACTGGGCCAAATTGATTGCCAAAGCAATTCACATTTCTTTTTGTTGGGCTCAAAGCATACATTAAAAAAAAAGAAGAAAATATAGTGAATAATCTCCTCTTCAACATCATCTTTTTCCTCTCAGTCCTCTTTTTTCTCCTGTTTTCTCAGTCTCCTGTTTATTCCTCTCTTTACTTAGTTTACAGAAATTGAGGGAAACACTGCTCTTTAAGATTTTTCAAATCATCCCCAATGCGAGACATTTGATAAGTTACACTAAAAGTTCAAGCTTATGAAATACAGATCTTATAATGCATCCTTCAGGCTTCTCTCCCTAATGTAAGTTTATGTTTGGGATCTTGTGTCTTAAAATTCTTCTATTTCACTTACTAGTTATGTCGATATTGTGATAGATGGCCACTTATGTGTCCGTGGATAGAGTGAGGAAATCCTCCCACGTAACAAGGTAGAATATGCAAGGATAAACCATGTACAGCAGTGACTGGCTTGGTTGTGTTCTTTTTCCCACCGAGCCTCTGATGTAGAGATCAAAGCAAGTAACAGATACATACATTAAAATACCACCTTTAAGAGAGATTACAATTTGACATACCACATACATTTTCACCATAGAACATAACATTGTCTTTAGTAAATATACCAATCACAAGGTATCTATAGATCTTCGTGTCCATATTATAAATAATTAAATCAGAGAAACAAGAGAATAAAAAAGCGAGGAGAGAGAAATGATGCATTCAAGAAAAGAGATGGCTAAAGAGATAGAGGAATTAAGAGAGGTCGTCTCAGGATGGTTGACAGTTAACAGGCTCAGATAATACCTACCTATTCATTCAGATTTCAGGAGCCCCACAAGCAACACCATATTTTGAATTAGAGCCCAGACATTATACCCTCTCTTGATCTATTTGACACAATTCTACTTCAATCTACCTCTGAAAAGCACGTTATGCAAATATTACTATAGTTTATGGAGACAACAGAAAGAAGATGATTGTTTTTGATGTTTTCCAAAATCATGCTACATTTCCTTCAGTTACAGGTATACTTTAAAATATATTTCCATGCTTTAAATTATTTCAACAAAGCAAGTATTGCTAAAATAATACAATAGCCTAAATATATTTCTACATTTTAGAAGTTTGCTTGCATATTCTTACTCTCTGATAATTAAAAATGGCTTTTTTTTCTGAAGAAAAAAATCTGGATTTCATTCTGGATACTCCTTGTCTTGTCCTCTTTAAGTAGAGTAGCATTAAATCTTTGCTTTCATAGGGAACCAGTTGGTGTCTGAGTATATTTCTAAGCAGACTATGCTGCTGTTCACAGGTTTAAAGATAACAACCCATCATGTATTGTCTTAGGGAATTGATGTTATGGGCTATATCTAAACTGGAGATATTCTGTATTCACCTTAGGAAGTTGGTTAACAGTTTGAATGTTTCTGTTATTTTTTATGTACATGGGAAAATATATATTTATTAAAAATAGCTCAGTGTGCCTATATCTGATTAATATAATTTCATACCTAAAAAATCTGTATGGAAAAAAAGAAGATAGAAATTTTTGTTGACAACTTTTTTTCATTTTTGATTTTTAGGAGGACTTTGGAATCATTAATTGAATATGATAGCATATTTCCTCTGTGGCCAATTTTGGGGGCAAATCTGTTCTTTATGTTTAGTTATGCAAATTTTTAGAGTTCTTTTCTCTTTTTTTGTTATCATCATTTCCTTTCCAAATTATTTTTTATTCTTTGTTATTGAAGTGAGAGAGCATCTCAAGCTTGTGAATATATTGGGACATTGGGAGGTAAAAGAAGATAGCTTGTTACTGTTGTGAGATCATCTTCATTTGTTTTGATTTTTCTCTTTTTTTGAGATGATAAACCCTTTATCAATAATTAAAAGCCATTGCTACTATTCAACAATGGTTGGAACATGAATACGTATGCTAAGAAATTTTACAGAAGTATCTGGGCCCAAGGTACAAATCTTAGACAAAAAAGTCATATTAGTGTATGTAATATGTAAAATTGTGACGTATGTTCTATGTAATACATAAAAGAAAAATTCTGTAGATTCAATAGCTTTGGGTTAATTTAAACAACATTTGCCACCATATATTTTAAGAAAGAGAACATAATTTGAGAATAATCTTACGATTCAGTGTTTCATGTTAATTAATTTTTTACATGCTTGGTTAGTCTATTCCCTTGGAAAATTTTAAACCTATTTTTTCATTAAATAGGTAAAGAGCACCTAGGCTTAAATTTGGCACTGTCTTCCTGTCATATGGACCTTCACCAGACATCTTCCTGTGCTAATGGAACCTGTAGCCACACTTTTGTGTACTACACTGCTGTCACAGATTTCTCTCGAGATGGAGATAGAGTTACAAGCATTGTAGTGCAGCCAATAGTTAATGAGGATTTCCTGTGGAACAGCTACACTCCAGACAGCATCCAGGTTGACAAATTACAAAAATATTACTGCAGTTGAAGCTTTAAAAAGAAATGTGTATTTTGTCATTATGTCTTACAAACTTTTTATGTAAAAAAATTTTTGGTAAATTTGTTTTTAAATAATTCCATTTTCAATAATTATGATAAAAACTATAATTGAAAATTTGTTGAGATTGCTAAGCAATTTTTAAATATATAACTAAATATAATTAATGGTAATATTTACCAAAAATATCTTTGCTTTTAAGATCAGAGTAAAGGATGTCCCAACTGCTTACTGCTATTCATTTACTGACCCACATATAATTACATTTGATGGCAGGTAATTTCCTGAAAGTTTTTTTCTTTTAGTAGTTTTATTTGCTTTGATTTTATTGTTTTATTTTAAACAGCATATTGTTTTATAATTTTTTAGTTCTTGTCACTGAAGTTAGACAGAAAGGCATTACTGGCCTGTTTCAAGAGAATAGTTTATTTATGTAGAATTTTTTGGCCTTAAAATATAGTTCTTAGTTAAAAGCATGATTAATTGCAAGGCCAAACTTGTAAAAATAAAGATTATTACAAATGCAGACAATCTTTTTTCCTGGACCGGTTTTAAATTTTAATAATGATTAAATTATTTGCTCTAAAGATGTTTAGAACATTTACATATGATAATAAAACAATCTTTGAATTTATGCAAAATGATTAAACATATTAGAATTATTTTTAAAAGTAATTACTTCTAAGTCTTGACAAGAATACTCAGGAAACATCTATTATAACTATTACAGATACCTGGATATTTGCCTCTGGAATTTAAAATGAGCAAAAGACCAAAAAATAATCTAAGCTATTTTGTTATTAATATCTATATAGAAGGTTTAAACTCAGTTACATTGTCCTGGGAGATTCATGATTCTGAGATGTCCTTTAGGAAAGTGAAAAGGATGTCTTAGTGTTGCATCAACTTTTTTTCATAATGCAAGATGGTTTGTGGTTTGGTGGTTTGATGGTTTTTTAAAAAAATTGTAATATGATCATTGTCAGTAAAATTATTCGACATATAGAAACCGTTCTATAAAAAAATTATACTCCAATGGTGTCAACAGGTGTTAAGAACCTGAAGGAACTGACCCCATGTGCAAGAATCCTTTATGGTTGTAACTAAAGGCTTAGATGTTTTGGTGGAAAAACCTCAAGAAATCATAGTAGTGATGAATTTAATCTGACAACTCAACAAGATTAATTATGCAACAGCTAGGTGAAAAGCCAAGTTCTAAGTACTGGGGGTATGGCAGTGAACAAAAGAAACACTCTCTAACCTTGTGGAGCTGGCTTTTGAAAAGATGAATAGAGATATAAACACATTTAATAAATAAAATATAAAGGGTATCTGAGGAAGATACTTGCTGTGAAGAAAACTAACTTGGGTGGAAAGGGAAGGCTGAAAAGAGGGGTTGCAATTTATATTAGAGTAGGTACAAAAAGCCATTTGGTGAGGGTGACATTTAACAAGTATGCAAAGTTGAAGGAGATAGCCACATTAGTACACTTAGTAAGAGAAGACCATTCAGTCAGCCTGCCCTGCTCAAGGAGAGCAGCTTGATTGGAGTGGTGAAAGGGAAGAAAGGAGTAGTGGGAGTGATTGAGGTGTTTATGGCAACTTTGTTTCCTTCAGTGCCTAAAAAAAAAAAAATGCTCATGATACAGAAAGCTGTTGCAAATAAGTAACATACTGTTGTGATAATTTACATGATTTTTAACGCAGTTGCCTTTTGTTAATGATAGGGTATATGATAATTTCAAGACTGGAACGTTTGTGCTTTATAAGAGTACATCACGTGATTTTGAAGTCCACGTACGTCAATGGGACTGCGGAAGCCTTCACTACCCAGTGTCATGTAATTGTGGATTTGTTGCCCAAGAAGGAGGTGATATAATTACTTTTGATATGTGCAGTGGTCAGCTACATGAATCACAACCGTATTTACTCGTAAAAAGCCAAGATGTAACCAGGAATATCAAGATAAGTGAATCTTACTTAGGAAGAAAAGTCACAGTATGTATGATTCTTTAACATTAGAAGTATTTTTCCTTTTTCTCCTTTCAAATAAACATCTATTCATCTCTATTAAATTAGGAGCTATTGTTTTTCAATATTGGTTTCTTTAACAAAATAGCATTTATATTAACTATCATCTTAGAAGGAGTACATTTTTTCCCACTTACCACACACAAATAGACACAATGTAATTAAAATCATGTAAAATTTAAACTGTCTTATTTAAGATTTCAGTATGACAACTTGGTGGATTATTCACCAAAATTATTTTTGACAATGTGTGATAAATAGTATATTAGACAGAGATGATAGACATAATTAAGAATAAATATTTAGGAATAATCAACCAGTTTTTGAAACGAATACAGTGTGGTACTACCTCAGGAATGGGCGGGTAGATAAATGTAATGGAATATGGAGTCAGGAAACAAATCTAAGATTATATGTTCACAAATATATATTTACATATGTATTTACATATCTATATGTATGTATATTTATATATGTCTTTACATATATATATACACATATATATGTCTTTGCATATATATATACATACATATATATGTCTTTGCATATATATACATACATATATATGTACTTACATATATATACATACATATATATGTACTTGCATATATATACATACATATATATGTATTTACATATATATATGTGTGTGTGTGTATATATATATATTTGAGATGGAGTTTCGCTCTTGTTGCCCAGGATGGAGTGCAATGGCATGATCTCGGCTCACTGCAACCTTTACCTCCCAGATTCAAGCGGTTCTCCTGCCTCAGCCTCCCAAGTAGCTGGGATTATAGGCATGTATCTACATGCCTGACTAATTGTGTATTTTTAGTAGAGATGGGGTTTCTCCATGTTGGTCAGGCTGGTGTTGAACTCTGATCTCAGGTGATCCACCTGCCTCAGCCTCTCAAATTGCTGGGATTACAGGCATGAGCCAACATACTAATATTTTTAATTCTTTTTTCTTTATTCCTGGCAAGCTAATTTTTTTTAAAGATGATCCTTCATATCTGTGAGTAAGCTATTTATATGTTCAGGTCATGGCCACCTTCCGCACACCTTTTAAACAAGTAATTCCAAGTAAATCAAGTTTAAATTTAAGTAAAGTACTAAAAATTTAAGTGTATGATTGTATAATATTTATTGAAGTAAACAATCATTTTTGAAAATAACATTATATATTTGAATTTCATCACTGAAAACCAAAATGCAAATCAAAAATTGGGAAAATATTTGCTACCCATAAAACCTAGGCCAGATAAAAAACACTCATGTATCACTAATGTATAATCAGCACTCCAATTAAAATGAACAAATAATATAAAAAGCCTTTTCACAAAGGAAATAAAACTGAATATGTTCAAAATTACAAAAAAAAACCAACATAAATATGAAAACGTTAGCCTCATTAGCAGTCAGATAGATAAATACATAAAGATTGAACATCTCTCATACAATATCGGCAAGAGTAGAGATAGTACATTTAGAAACAGTCTTTCCTGGGAACACATATATCATACATATATAACCTGCACCTATGTGTGCTATTCTGCCGTTAAATTTTACTTGTGAAAACTTATTGTAAAAAATAGTTAATGTTTATTGTATCTTTCCTTGTAAGAGGAAAAAGTTAAAATTAGTGACCAATAAAGAGGTTTAATATAATAGAACACTTTATAGTCATGAAAATGATGGAGTAGGTGTGTGTGTTTATTGACAGGCAAATATATGCCTGAAATATAAAAGAGGTTTTGAAGAATTTGTACCAAGATCTTAATATTAGCTACCTTAAGGTGGCTTGGAAAGTTAAATTTGTTTGTTTTTAAAATACTTTAATGCAAGTAACACATATCATTTTTGTAAAAAGAGAAAAAAAATCTATTTTTAAATTTTAAGAAAATTTAAAGAGGAAAAAAACAACCAGAGTAACAAAGACAGTAGTGTGTCTTCAGTGATTTTTAAAAGAGATAGGTTCTCCACATACAAAGTACATCAAAGTAGCTGCTCTGGAAGAGGTAATTCCTGTGATGGGAGATGTGGTTCACAGTTATATTACACAGGCTATTTGGGTCATTGAGCAAACTCTCCTTGCTCAGATTGCCAGCTCCGCAAGCTACCTTCTAGTTATAATTGAGCTTCTGATTCTGTTTGCCTACTGGAAGCATAAGAATGCTAATTAGCCATAGAAATATGTTCTCCTCTGAAATTATATTCATCTGTGTAAATTAATTACTTGGCAATCTAATTCTGTATTAAATAATTATTATCAGAAACATTACTTGGTAAATATCTTTCTCAAGATTTGTAATGGTATTAATTGTATAAATGATCTCATTTTAGTTTTAATTATTTAAAGAAAGAGGTTGTAAGCAACATATTTCAGTAAAAAGATCAGTATGGTCATCAAATTTCACGTTAGCAAAATGCAAAAACCCTTTATTTTGACATAGAACATTAAGAGGAAAGTTGTAGCCAGAAAAATCAGTATTTTAGTCTCTTTTTATATTGAAGAAATAACAAGTTCTTATTTTTTAAATAATAGACTTTTCTTAATCCAGATTGAATATTTCTTCAAATCTTTTATTTCTGTACTGTGCATTTCTGTATTTCAGATCTGGTTTTCTTCTGGGGCATTCATCCGTGCCGATCTTAGTGAATGGGGCATGAGTCTGACGCTCAGAGCCCCTGGTATAGATTACGGAAACACTCTGGGACTTTGTGGAACCTTTGATGAAAATGCAGAGAATGATTTCCATGACAAAAATGGGATCCAAATTGATGAAAAATTTAACAATTATGCTGCTTTTATTAATGCATGGAGGTAAGACACTATCTTTCCACTTGTGATTGTATTAATATTAGACTGAAAATGGGTCTGACTCAACACCTTGCTTTTTTGCAACACATATTAGGAAAAAATGTTTATGAACAAATTACTATTCTTTCCTGTTTTCCATCTGGAAGGATTTTACCAGGAAAAAGCATGTTTGACACACTGCCAATTTCTATGACGTCACCTGCAAAGCCATCCTATTGTAGCTGTTTGTTGGACACTGCTTCACTGTATCCATCTTCCGATGATCTGGACAGTGTTTCTCAATCAGAAATTGTTTCGGGTTGCAAAGACCTCAGTCATGTCAAGTTATCTTCTTTGATACCAGAACTAGATATCACCTCTGAATATATTAATTCAGATGCACTTGTTGGAGAGATGAACAAGTATACATCTCAAGAAGAATATGATTTAAATTTCCTTCCCCAAGGAAAAAAACATATAAACCTCACCAAACTAGACTTAAATGTACAAAAACATCCTGGAAATGAGAAACAAGATGCACTAAAATATTTGGACAATAAGAGATATACAGAAGGTCAAGAAAGCCAGAGCCAAGAAATGAGGTGGAATCAACAAAACAGACGGAAACGACGGAACTTTTATGAGTTTCTTCCTTTGTTTGCTTTCCCGAGTCTCAGCCAAACGGATCTGGAAGAACTTACTTATTTTTTCCCAGAGGACCATGCTGAGGATGTACAGCAAGAGTTTGTCCCCTCTTGGCCCACACCCTCTGGCCTCACTGAATACAGCACCTTGACCCTCTGTCAGCAGACTCTTGCCAACTCCAGCATAGGAAGACTCTGTGTTGCTTTTCTTGGCAAGAGACTAGACAGTGTTATAGATATGTGTGTGAAGGATGTTCTGTTAAAAGATGATCTTAGCTGGGCAGAAGCAGGTGTGGCCCTTTTAGAAAATGAATGTGAAAAGAGGATTGTGGAGGAGGGGAAATATAACACAGAAGAGTATGGCACGTCAATTGAAGACATTCTCTTAGTGTTAAAATGCCCCAATTTATGCAGCGGCAATGGGCAGTGTATGGAATGGGGCTGTGCATGTTCCCCAAACTTTAGTTCTTATGATTGCAGTGATTCTGAAGGTAAGTAAATACTCTCTAAGTTTGACATTGCATATGACGTTCGATTATAAAAAGTCTTAAATCTTTATTTCGCCCTCAGTATCTTAACAGTGTTTACTCAGATTTTATATTATTCCAAATCATATTAATTAATACACTACTAATTTTCCAATGGCATCTCATCTTATTTTGAGTAAAAGCCGAAGTTACCTAGAACAGCTCAGAAGGCACAGTGTGATCTGGCACACAGTGTCCCTCTAAACTCGATCCCTGCTACTGTCACCCTGTCGTTTGCACTTCAGCCCCTTTGGTCTCTAAGCTGTCCCTTGAAAATGCCAAGTTCATTTGACCTCAGGGCCTTTGCACACAACTGAGCCCTCTGCCTGTAGAGAATCATTATTTTCTCAGAACTGAAATTTAGTGTTTTTAAAGCACTGAGTTTATATTGTTTTGCTAGTTATGCTAATTTGCTTAAAACTCTTTTTCTCTAATGCATCTAGCTATAGAGTACAAACTGTTTTGTCTTAATATGTTAGACAAATAAACTGTAAAAAGTTTTATTTTTTTAAAATAAGTAAACCAGTAACTCCTGATTTCCCCTCCCATTATTACCATCTTGCCCTATTCCACCTACAGCCTTTTCCTTCTTAGTAAATGCAAACTTCATTCCTATTTACTCACATTAAAAACTTGTAGTCATTTTGACTCTCTTTTTCCTTCATGCCTCAAGTTTAATTCATTAGCAGCAAATCCAGCTTCAGCTTAAAAGCATTTCATTTCTTTCCTTGTTACAACCATAGTCTAAGCCACCATTATTTTCCCCCGGATCATCATAGATTCTCCCAAAACTTATTTTCAGTGCAGCAGCAGCCAAAGTGACCCCAATGAATTGTGAATGAGATCATATTGCTTCTGTGTTTACATAGCTCAAATGGTTCTTCGTCTCCTTCCGAGTAAAGTTGACAGTCCCTACCATGGCGTAGAAGACCCTAAGTGGCCTGAGGTTTCTTTCCCACTGAATTCATCTAGAGCTCGTCAGCCACACTGGCAGCTGTGCTGTTCCTCAAAGGAGGCAGGCCTGCTCCCACCCCAGGGCCTGTGCACTTTCTACTCCCTCTCACCGGAGCATTCTCCCACCACAGATCTTTGTGACTGACTTTCTTTATTTCTCTGTTCAAATGTCATATTATCAAAAAATCTTCTGTGGTCATTCAAAAGAGAGTTGTTTTTCTCACACAATTCCATGGTCTTAATCTCCTTTAAAATATAGTTAATATACTTTTTTTCTGTATTCCTGAAAACAATTATGTACTCTATTTTATATTTATCTTTTTATTCATTTGTTTTTTTATCCTCCCATGCTAGGATGTAAGTTACATGAAGGCAGAAACTTTGTTTTGTTCATTACTACATCACCAGTGCCTAGAATAGCAACAGATAAATAAAACTTGTGAAACATTTGTTGAATTGGTGAAAGTATGAACTGAAGTAACCCATGGTTTTAAAAAAAATTTCATCAAGATTTTTAGGGTTCTGAATACACATGATTTTCTACCCTACCGCTAGTAAAGTTGTATTCACTTAGGTTTTCCCAGTACTTAGGCAAAAGGTTTAATAACTTTTACACACTGCTTATATCCATTTTGACAACCAGATGTTACTGATACAGATGACGTTTTGAAATTTTAATACATTGTATTACCAACTACTATATTTTATTATAGAAGCATTTTTTCTATAACCCAACCATATGGCTCAGACCAAAATGGCAAGACCAAAATGGCAAAACCTAAATGTACTTTACCGTAGTGGTAATTTCATAATACTTGTCCTTAGTTGATATTAAATATTATTAAACATTAGTGAAGGCTGTGTATTTAGGACTGGAAGTGTCTGTAATATATTATTACTGACTTGATGGTAGTACTTCTTCTAATACCAGATTACTCTTAATATTTAATGGATTAATTAGTGTAAATAGCATTTTAGCTATACTTTAAAATATTATTTTCCATATGCTTTTAATTTGGGGCTTTGAAACAATTGGTTTTTTCCCCTGAAATTAAAGAAATTATATAATATTTGTTGTATATGTTTTCCAAAGACAAACCTCCTGAAATTACAGAGCTTGGGAATGCTGGATTCTGTGATGTTCAAAAGTATGATTGTATGATGGTGAGAGTCTTTGGAAAAGGATTCAAAGAATTACCTTCAATTAAATGTGAAGTTACCAAGCTACAGGTATGTAGATAGAGCTGAGATACTCAGATTAATATTTTCTTGGATTAGTATGGTCTATCAATTAGCAACATAAATCCAAAAGATGTTATATCCACAGAGAACTGAACAGGACAATGAGCAAGTTACATAATGTTGATGCTTCTTTGTTAACTTTATTAAAATATCTTATAAACATTTTATTGAAGTATTGGGTCACTGTTTTCACTTATGTTAAAAAGCTAAAAGAATATCAAGGTTGATTTATGTAAGCCTCTGTATTTCTTGAAAAGTGAAAACATAAAGAATAGAGATTGTTTTTAGCTAAGACATCCTGCATGAACTAGGTATGAACATTTCTCTTTTACAAACCAAAAAATGAGAACTAATTATATTTATTCTTTATATATTTTTACTGTGGATTTTAGACAGAAAATAACCACCTCCAAAAAAATTAGTATTTATCTTAAGGCCACAGAAACAGACATGATCAGTTTGAACATTAGTATATCAAATTATAACTTAGTTTTTATTATTATGTAAATGGTCTTCCTTGTCTTCATTCAAATGGAAATTTTATTTTAAGGATAACTCTTTAAATTTCAAAAGTATATGTGGGTAAGCGGAAAACTTAAAACGGCAAATCATATTTTAATATTCTTCTTACTTTTTCTCTAAATTGATGAAGCCAAATGTGTTCCTGAAATTCAGAATTTACAGGAGGAAATAGATTTCTTTGTGTCTTTATCAAATAGTTAAACACAAGTATGCTGACTTCAGGATTTTATGGGTAGAGCCTTTCTCGATAAGCCATGAAATATTTTAATCCCAATGAAGTAATAGGACACAATGGAAAGGTACATGCAAGTAATTTTAATATCACTTAAGAGAATAGACATTATATTAGTCTTGGCAGAATAAATCATATGACATCACACGAAAATGAAGTGATTTGTCAGGAGAGAATTTTTTAGATTTATATTCTCTTGAAAGCACATCTTGTACTTACTTTCAGATGCATTATTTGTTGTGATTTACTCTCATGCTTCCTCCCACTTCCTCCAAAATTGTGATAAATACCGATAAAATCTGGAATCCTCTAACACACTGTACAGAACTGTATTCATCCATTTTCACAGTGCTATAAAATTACTACCTGAGACTGAGTAATTTGTAAAGAAAATAGGTCTAATTGGCTCACAGTTCCGCATGGCTGGGAAGACCCCAGGAAACATACAATCATGGGGGAAGGCAGAGGCAGGCACCTTCTTCGCAGGGCGGCAGGCAGGTGAGAGCGAGCTAAGAGGAAACCTGACACTTTTAAACTATCAAGATCTTGTGAGAATTCCCTTACTGTCATGACAGCAGCACAGGGGAAACTGCTTTCATGATCCAGTCAACTCCCACTACATCCCTCCCTCCATCCACGGAGATAACAATTCGAGATGAGATTTGGGTGGGGACACAGAGCTAAACCATATCAAGAACTGTGGAAAGAAAGCATGGTGATGCGTGCCTGTAGTCCCAGCTACTCAGGAGGCTGAGGCAGGAGAATTGCCTGAACCCAGGACGCGGAGGTTGCGGTGAGCCGAGATCGCGCCATTGCACTCCAGCCTGGGTAACAAGAGCGAAACTCCGTCTCAAAAAAAAAAGAAATATGTTCACTTGCCCAAACCAAATCTAGAATGCATATCTGTCTTTATTTTATGTTATGCTGAAGTCTGTCTCTCCTAGCGTCAGTCTTGCCAGTGCTGGGTTTTAAAGACTTTTCTAGCCTTTGAGTCATACCTTCAGTGAAGACTGTTTAATGTGGCACCATTTTAGGATCCCCAACGCCACCAACATGGGCCCTGGTCAAAGCCTTGCATTCACTTTGTATGGAATATGTTTGCCCTGCCATCAACATGAGTCTATACCTGCTAAACTTTTTAGGTTAAATTTCAGTTCCCCTTGAAAATTGGATTACTCTTCAAAATCCAGCATTTTGGAAACCAGATCATGCAAAATCCTTAATAACTTCCCATTTTATGAAGTAATTTTTTAAAACTTTTATTTTGAAATAACTTGAGACTTGCAGAAAAATTGTAAAAATAATGCAGTTTCCAGTAATTCTTTACCCAGTTTCTCTTAATATTTATAAACCATATCCATAAAACAATTTTTCAAACAAGAAAATTCACCTTGATACAGTACTATTAACTAATTTACAGACCTTGTTCAAAATCTGCCAGTTGTCCAACTAATAATGGCCCTTTTTCTGATTCAGGATCCAATCTAAGATTTTATATTGCATTTTGTTGTCATGTTTCTTCAATCTCTTTCATATTGTGATACTGTTCCATCTTTTTTTATCGTTTGCACACTTGATTCTTTTGAAGAGCACTGGTCAGTTATTTTGTGTAATGTTCCTTTTCTTATGGTTAGATTGAGGTCATACCATGTTGTACAATTCTTAGTGCATACTTTCATTATGCAATGTAGCTAATCACTGGCAATGTAAATTTTGATCACTTAAGGGGCTTTTGCCATGTATCTTCACTGTAAGCTTCCTGTTTTTCCCACTGTAAATAATAAATATGTTGTAGGGAGACACTTTTAGATTGTGAAAATATATGATAGCTCCTCAGACTATTTCTTCCTGATTTTAGTATCCAACTATAATTTTTGCTTGTAGCAATTATTACTTTGGTATTTACCAGTGGTGATTTTCTATTTCCATCACTTCTTTTACATATGTCGTTTGGAATTCTACTGAAAGAAAGAGTTGTTCCTTGTTTCCAATTTATTTATTCATTTATTTACTCATGCCAGTATAGACTAATAGAAACTTATTTCATGAATTATAATTCAATGTTACCATTCTTTATTTGGCTGCTTAAATTATTCCAGCTTTGACCAGTGGGAGCCATTACAAATTGGTTTTCATGTCCTTTTAACTTGCTTCCATAATTTTTTGAAGAATTTCTCACTTTCTGGCATCATGTAATATTCCAGAGTCATATTTTTCCTGTTCCAACTCTAGAATCAACCGTTTCTTCAAAGAATCTAGTTTTATTTATCAAAGAGGGTTATTTAAAGTCCAAGACTTGGGTGCAAGGTGTGCTTCTTGTTACAGGGTAGTTATTGCTTCTTGGCCCTTTTAATGGCTACAGTTAGAAAATCTATATATGTACACTCATACACACACATAGCAATCTACCTATCCACCTGTTTAGCTATCTATCATCTCTGTGAGTTGATGCCGGTACTCCTAATTTCATTGTAGTACCATAAGGTTCACTCTAGCCTTCTCCGCTCCCTTTTCTTTACAGGTGAAAACTGGCTGTCATCATCCACAATCTATTTACTTAGTTTCTCAATCTAAGTGTATGTGTAAGTCCGTTTCAGAAATTCCAACCCTTTCCTCTGTGAACAACAAATTTATGAAACAAGGTCATAATATATAGGCAAATGCTACTTTCCAAAGTGACTATTAACTATTTTAACTATTAACTAGATTAACTATTTTCTTTTCTACTCTGTTTAGAGTGGCTATCCATTTTATGTATGATACAACTAGGTTTTAAAAACATTTGTATTCCATTTTTACTTTCTTTCACACTTTGGTTGATTTTAGTTATTTACTTATTTGGAGCGTATATGAAATGCCATAGTACTAAGAGCTGAAGCCATATAAAAGCTATACACGTAGAATTATTACTTTCTTGTCATCCCATCACCTGTTTTCCATCACTCCTTCTTTTCATTGAAATATGTTTGCACTCTCATTATTTTCTGGTTAATCCTTACTATATTTCTTTGGTAGAAAAATGTATAGATAACTCTTTTTTATATAAAGTATAACATAACTTACATGCTTTTTTTCTATTTTCGTATTAGTAGTTTTAAGCACGTTTTTGCTAGAGATTCCACCACCCAAGCATTTCTTTTATTTCCTCCTGCAAAGCAGTCGAGACTCTACAAAATCCAGTTTTAAAGGTGCTGATTTGTAGGATTAAATAAAAGATGTTATCCAAGAAATGGATGGCACATTATGATTTAGCTCTTGTCTCTATTTGCAGGTTTGAACCTCCTGTTTATGCCACTTCATACATGCCTGTCTTTTTCTCATGCCATTCTCTCCATCCATGTGAATTGCACACTCTCCGCTTCTGCTCCCGGTGTCCAAGTAGCAGTCTCCTTTTTTATTTTCAGGAAGAGAAATATTTGATATTTTGAAGCCACCTTTGACTGTGCTAATTAGTTAGACTTAATAACTTCTTTTATATTATATCTTATTTGAGTCTCTTTTATTGCAATAATAAAATTGCATGTTGTTTGTCATTTTCTTTGCGATCTCTTTTTACAATGAAATATCCTCAGCACATAATATAGACTCACAAAACAATGACGAATGAAAAGGAAATAGAATCCTGTATATTCCTCATTTTGGGTAGGCCCCTCTAAACAGAAAGGTGGAAATAATCTCTATGTTCTCAGTCATTGGCTGGAGCCTTCTTTCCACACAAGAAAACAAGACCCTACATTCACCTAAGTGTAGACCATGACTACTCTGAGAAATTACTGTCATTCTTCCTCTACCAGAGGAAAAGCACTGATAGTGCTGCTAGGCCAGACCCTGCACACCCACTTAAACATGGAGGTTTGCAGCTTACTCTTTCGATCATTAAATCTTCAAAAACGTAATTTCTATTAGCTGAAGACAAGAGTAATCACATTTTCCTTTCCTTTTCCTGCTGACCCACAATACTGAAGCATCAACATGCTCCAAGACAAATTCTGAGTGGTTGAAAACATTTTACAGTCATAAGTTTCAAAGAAAAATCTAAATCTAAATTTTGGCAACAAAATATAGCTTTTGGTTTCCTACATACTTACAAGTACCCAGAAAATTATTTTGGCTTCTCCTCCTTTGACACCAATGCATTTTCAGTACTGAAAAAGAATAAAGTGTAGCTTAAGCATGATATGTCACTAAGTTAGTAAGTAGGGTGAACTAAATAGAATTTATTTAGTTTCAAATTACTAATAATCTAACTTGAGCAAAAATAGTTGTTATGATAATATATTTCTTAGAGAATCAAGAACAAAAATGTAGCTGAATTCTCAAGAAAAATTTTAAACTTGGGGATTGAACACCGTGAAGACTCAGTATGTGTGCATTTTTGTGTGTGTGTATGTTTCTGTCATTTCTACTTTTGTCTATGGGCTTTGTTTTCTCATATCACTATATACTGGCTTTCTCTCCGTAGTGAAAAAATGGTCACCAACCACTTCATAGTTTGTGTCTTACAACTCAAGCCATCAGAGGTTGAGTGACATGATGTCTTTGTGGGTATAAAGTTAAAATATTATGAGTAGTTGAAATGTTGGCCTAGCTTAGGTCAGCCCCTGTACCAGTTAAGCATGGTCAGGGAGGTTGGTCATGTAGGAATATGAGAGGCCCTGTGGGAACAGTTTCAAGTAGAGGTAGGTGATGGAAGCTTTTGCAGGAGAAATGAAGGAATTTCTGGGCAGCAAATCAATCTGCTATGTGTCAACTACATAGTCAAGTGTGTTTCCTCTTGCTACAAAAGTCATTACATACTGGCCAATATGGTAACATATATATATATATATAACATATATAATATGGTAACATTGGTAACATATATATAACATATATAATATGGTAACATTCGTAACATGTATGTGACATATATAATATAGTATATATGTTTGATATATAATTCTTTGATTTGAACTGCCAAGAAATGCATGATTTATTGGGAGCAATTTACATCATATTAATATATGTACACTTTTCATTATTCTGACTAAAACTCCCAATGTGACTTTTGTTTCCCTGTTATTTACTACATTATAATAGGCATATATTTAAAATTAATGTTTTGATTATATGTAATTTACTAGCAAAATATTCCGATAATTTAACAGAGGTTAACTGCTTTCTCACTATGTCTTCAGTATAATAACAGTGAATGGATGCCTGGAAAACCCATCTATACACAGACTGTTTTCCAAAATAGCAGAGCTGTTGATTGTCAGCTGCCCATTGATGTTCAGCAGTTTGATACCATAGATCTGGTGGGTGAGAAACCAATTGGGAAGTGGCAGTTGAAGGTAAAAAACAAAAAGACATCTTCATATTTATAAACGAAGTAAATACATATAACATTTCAGAACATTTAGAGAAATCATCTCATTATAGAACTATTATGTTACAGGTATCTAATGATGGTTATAAATTCAGTAATCCTAAAATAATGGTCATATATGATGGTGCTTGTCAAGTTTGTGGTCTCTATAAAAATGACTCATGTACTATAAAGGTATGTATTTCTCTCATTTATTTTCACATTTACATCATAGGTATTTCTTATGCTGTTGGCACATTAATTGTAGTTTTTTCACTTTTATATCAGAAAGAGTAATAGAGAAAAGCCTTCCTCAAGTTTACATTAGGTAATTGAAATTGTTACTCTGCCTGCAAGGAAGAGATTTCTACCTTTAACATTTGAAATGGCAGATTACTTCTAAAAAATTATAAGAGGAAGTCCATACTGAATTACTGACTACTTCACTCCTACCTGCATTGTTTTTTCAGTAGTAATAATGATTTTCTAATAAGATATCTCATGTTGTTACCTAGTCTCCTTTGCGGCAAATGACATACATTTGGTTAAAATTTGTAAAATGTATAAAGTTAGTATTTACATGGGGAGTATTTCCTGGCAACTAAGTTTACTGGAGCATGTAAATACCTGCCACTTGATGGATTACAGAACAGCAGCACAGCCTGAGCTGAGTTGCAATCACCTTCTTCTTAATGTACATCCAGACTAGCGTATTTATCAAAAGTGCTGTCCCACGTGGGAACTGCTGACTTAACAAACACTGTGGATATAATATCACTTGATTCTTCAAAGCTGAGTTGCATACAAATAATATTTATAGACATGAAAAATTTTAAGGCATTATTTTTTCTAAGTTTAAAATTTGTTTTCTTGAGATTAGCCAACAGATCAAATCTGATTCTCAAAAATCTTCGAGAAATTATGTGATTTTTATTTTTTCCCAAATATTCTATTTCCATATATCCATAAGTACTTTAAAAATATTATTATTCAAGATTATTTTCTTCTCCTGGAGCTATTTCACTCTAACTTTTGTGTTTTCCAAGGGATATTAAAGGAGATTTTTGTAAAATGAGCTAAGTTCGTATCTCCTGGATAAAATTTAGTCTTCTCCCAAGAATAGTTGCTCCATTTAATGTTCTTTCTGTGCTTATGAGCATCTCTTTCAAATGTTTTGTGTAATGATATCCATTATCAAGTGTGGACAATTATGCCATGGATCCAGTTTAGTTGGCTATGTTCATAGAACATAGTGGGCTGCTAGGGAAATGGAAGATAACTATAAGCCAATATGATTTTATAAGTTGTGGAGGAAAAAAAGAAGTCGGTTTTATTTTATTTTGAATAAAGCACTCCCAGGATGAGTTTAGCAGTGGAAAATACCAAATGAGAGATTTCCTCGCATATTATTTATAAATTATAAGCTATAACTTTGCAGAGATAAAACTTATATGTATTTTTATTACCTCCAAATTGATCAGTTTTATAGATATTTGCATATTCAGGTAATTTATTTTCTAATAAGCACTTATGATTGTGAAGTATGAAAAATATTTCATCTTCAAAATAGATATATATGCTTTTACTGGAATCATCAGTACATATACTGCTATCCTTCTATGTACAGTTTTTAAAATATACTAGCTGTAGCTGTACTTTATTGATGTTTTCTTTTTTAAAAATTTTCCATTAGGAAAATGTTTGCATTATTGATGGACTCTGCTACTTTGAAGGAGACAAAAGTCCAACCAGCCCTTGTTTGGTGTGTAGACCCAAAATTTCAACATTTACTTGGTCATTTTTAGAAAGTAAGTTATTCTTTATTAATTCAAATGTTTCCTGTACAACACATTTTTTAAAGTGGTTTTCAGCCAGAAGTTATGTAAATATGTTTAAAATGAATGACCTCTGTGTTTAATTTAGCTTCTCTCCTAACTGCAAAATTTACTTTGAGGTTATAGGATATTAATTTTAATATTTGATTAGGAAAGCAAATGTGATTTATTTAATTTATTTTATTTATTTATTATTTTTTTTACACCTTGTATCCTCTTCATTCTTCCCCCAAGCAACCAGTTTCTCCTCCTCTGTCCCTGTCTTGGCGACTAGAAACCAAGAAACCAATAAATCTGCGTTACCCTCTCTCATCTTTCACATTCCCTAGTTAGCAAACAGTGGAGATTCTGCCCTGGGAATATGTTTCAGATTTAATCTCCTTTTCTCTGTCTCTCATCATCTTCCTTCTATACTAACATCATTGATCTCTCTGTCACAAGTTCCTTTCCCCTCCTATTTTCTAACAATCCTACATAGTCTTAAACACTTCATTCTGAGTAAAATATCCGATGTTATACCTCCATGTTTGAAATTCCTGAGTGCCACCCTCCCCACCCCTGATGTTGCATTAAGAATAAAGGACACATTTCTTAGCATGCTATCCAGAGCTCTCCATACCTGTCCCCACTGCCATTATAACATCCAGTTACAAAAATATCTATTATGTCTAATATACACTTTTAGCCACACACAAAAAAATTTGTTAACCAATTTTTAGAAACTATCCTTTCTTTTCTTTCTTTCTTTCTTTTTTTTATGTCTCTATTATTAAACACAATTACAGGCATACCCATTTTTAGAATGCATTCTAGCCCGGGCAATAAAGCAACACCCCTGTTCTCCCTCCCTCTTCCTCTTCCTCTTTCTTCCTTTCCTTCATTCTTTTTTTTATTCTTTCTCTTTCTTTTCTCTTTCTTCCTCTAAAAAAAAGAGAGAGAGAGAGAGAGAGAAGCTTTATCTGCATTTACAGCCACTCCCCATCGCTAGTATTACCTCTTGAAAAAAAAAGAAAAGCAAATGTGATTTATTAATGGAAGAAATGGGAATTGTTAATTCAGTTGCACACAATTACCTGTGCTTAACCTTACCTCTGTTCAGTTTTGTGACATTATTAACCATTTAAGCTCAAAGGCCATGGATTCAGCACCTGTTAAACAAGGTATCCAGACTCACTAATCTATCAAGTGTTTTCCAGCACTACCATTCTGTGGTGTGATGAGTATCATATTGGGTACAGATAATCTTTGTTTCAAACAATATCCCAAATTATAGTCATATGCCATATAACTTCCTCACTTTCATAAATACAGCTATGTTGGTTCCATTTAGGTGTCTAAATTCTCTTTCCTCATGGGGAGACCTGACATTATTAGAGACAACAGGACACAATTATTCCCTGGCCCCATGTAGTTTGTTTAAGGGAGTCATACAACTTTAGATTTATACAATGCTTTGTAATATCATTATAATTGTATGTGCATATTTCATTACTGTGTTTCATTACATTTGCCAAATGATTCACTGCTTAGGCGTTAAGACTCATAGAATGCTGTGGAAAGCCAGTGAAAATTTGAGGAAAAATACAGTGAAAGAGGTGAAAATACAACTTCTGAATTGGTGCTTCTGTTTTTTAATGGCTATAGTTTGACTGATTGATTCATAATAGTCTCATAGTGTTCAAAGTCATAAAGAGTCATGAAAAATCATGCTTTTAAATCTCTCATATTGAGGATGAGGAAATTAAGATCAACAAATTAGTCTGCCTGTGTAAGGCTATGCAGGAGCAGAACAGGAGCCAGAACTATAGTCTCCTGACATTGGTGCTTCGTGGATGCAAGCAGTGTTTGTACTCAGTACAATGCAATGGGGCTATTTGTTCCAACTGTTAAGCCAGGGGGCTGGAAACATAGACATTTTTTTTTTTTTCATATAAGACAACATAAAAAGAGTAAAAAGAGGTTTTCTGTTGTTTCATGAGTGTAAAGGGAACTCTACCTGTCCCTTAAAATAGCTCCCTTTTTGGGGAGAGGGGGCAGAGTCTCACTCTGTCTCCCAGGCTAGAGTGCAGTGGCATGATCTCAGCTCACTGCAGCCTCCACCTCCCGGGTTCAAGCAATTCTCCTGCCTCAGCCTCCTGAGTATCTGGGGTTACAGGTACCCACCACCATGCCTGCTAATTTTTGTATTTAGTAGAGACAGGGGTTCACTATGGTGGTTAGGCAGGTCTGGAACTTCTGACCTCAGGTGATCTGCCCTCCTTGGACTCGCAAAGTCCCGGGATAACTGGTGTGAGCCACCATGCCCAGCCTGAAATAGTCACCTTTTTAGTGTGTGCACTCAGCCACTGAATGAACCTCTGAGGAGCAGAAGATGAGTATGACTCATGGCTCCCACGTGGTACAGCTGGGAAGGCAGGTATAGAGAGAAACATTCAGAGGAGCCAAAGAAACAGGGCAGTCATGGGCAGTGAGGGAGGAATAGAGAAAGGGAGTAGAGGGAGAAAGTGAACTGAAAGAAACAGAGTGCAAAGCGTTCACAGCCAGAGAGAGAAAGAGAGTAGAGAGGCAGTCAACAGCAAGAAGTAAGTTACAGCAGAAGAGGCGCAGCCTCCAGTGTGGATGGTGGATGTGTAGCTGTATATTCTGTGCCGTAGCCAAAGTGCTTTTCATACTTTCGTAGCAATGCTCCAGGTCTTGCACCTGTCAGTTACTTTCACATGTCTAACAATGGAGATGAACTTACTGAGAATGTTTAAAAAAAATGAAAGTGGCTAACAGAACTTAGCAGAGTTCAGTCTTTATCAAAATGCATGTCTCTGTGGGAGCTCTCAGAAGCACACAGTATAAAGTTAAGTGTTTTCTCTGTTACAGACAACCAGCCCCCAGTGATTCAAGCATTGCAAGACAAATTGCAGACATTCTATGGTGAAAACTTTGAGTATCAGTTCGTGGCCTTCGATCCAGAAGGTTCAGACATCCATTTTACTTTGGACTCTGGTCCTGAAGGAGCAAATATTTCCTCTGCAGGGCTTTTTATGTGGAAAACAGACTTACAAACTCCCCAACAGTTTACTCTACGCCTTAATGATGACTGTGATGCAGAAACTAGAGTCCTGATTGAGGTAATCTTTATAATTACATAAGTGTCACTGGATTATTTTGCAATTTTAACGAATTTATTTGAATTTAAAATACAAACCATATTCCTAGTTTTAAAGACCAACAAAATTATTAAACATTGTATGGGAAATTGCATTGCCAAAACTTTGGCTATTCTTTGTAAGAATATAAAACCTTTGAGAGAGTCTCAAGCCCAGAAGCACAGATCTAAATTAATAATTTCTATACCATTTTATTTGGTACTTCACTATGACAAGGATAAAGAACTCATTCAGCTCCACCTTCATGAAAAATCTGTGATTAATCTAAGATTGATAATTATACCCTTTTCCTTTGAGTGAAAGGATCTGAGATGTTGAATTAGAAGTCAAGATTATAAATACGACTTGAGATAACTAATTGGCAGCTATACCTCCTTTCTTTATCGACTTTTTCTTTTGATTATGTCAGTCATGAGCACTTAATACTTACACACTGTTTATGTGTCCTTTATTCATTTGAAACTGGTAACACACTTTTTCACTGAAGTAATATCATAAAGAGCAGCTGTGTTTTATGCCGTATTAACCCGGTAATTCAGGAGATCATTTGCTCTCTAGATTTGTGAATAACCCAGGTGACTAACTGCTTTCCACTTTAATGATTTTTTTTTAAGTTGTTCTACTTGCATGATAGAAATTTATCCTCATATAATATATATTTTTTAGAAAAATTATCCTTAGCATTATATTGTGGTTATGCACCTGGGAGTGGGCATAATTGCCTTATTAAACTATTTTTAATACTATTTTATGTTACATGTATGTGTGTGTGTATATATATGTAATATTACAATATGTTTAACATGACAATAGAACTGATAACAATCAGTTATTGCAAATATAAGCGATTTGGTCACACTTGTACATAAATACACATGCCTGTCATGATTTCTGGGGCATAAACTGAAAATAATTTTATTGAAAAATAAGACATTTCTTTTTTTTTTCTTTTGTAGGTGACTGTGAAGTCTTGTGATTGCTTGAATGGTGGATCATGTGTGTCTGATAGGAAATCCCCTCCAGGGAGTGGAGTGTACCTGTGTATCTGCTTGCCTGGCTTCCATGGCAGTCTTTGTGACGTGGCCATTAGTGGGTGCCAATCCAACCCCTGTGGTCTTGGCAGATGTATTAGTGGTTTTCATAGTTATTCCTGTGATTGTCCACCTGAGCTCAAAGGTAAGTTTCTGCTCCTCATAAACAAATTAGAAAGAAAAGCTCCTTGAAACATTCATCTATAGATTACTCAAGCAAATGTGTGGCCCTAAAGATTTTAGTACAAATCCTTACAATTTTAATCAAAGCTATTACAAATAAAATTACTATCTATATCCCTTGATTTTGCAAATTGTAAGTTCCATACAGTATTACAATTTTGCCAATTTTTATAACTGTAATAGCAACATAGGAACCTGTTTTGCAGGTTCTTAAACATTTCTACCTATATTTGTTAGGGAGAAATGTATTAAAATGTATTACCACTAAGATATGGAAAAATAAAGGAAGTATGCCAGGGAAAATATAAAAGTTGTCACTTCAGAGAAGTTTTACTGATAATTCATTGACTTAGAAATATCATGGTAAAAAGCTGAAATCAAATGAAATGTTAGCATATCACTAACTCAATAGTCCTAAAATGTGTGATTATAGAAATAAATATATAACTGCCAACCTTTAATTTCCCATGGCTTTTTAAAAACTCATATGAATATTTTCTTTATGTTTAATAGATGTAAATATTTAATAATTAAATATCTAGTTATTGAGTTGATATTTTTCCTGAAGACATCTATTTTAACATTGCAGTGGAACTAAGCAGCATATGTGTGTGTCTTCTAATTTTCTTTAGCATTTTAAAACAAAAATTTTATCATTTGGAACTATGAATGTAGCTCTCTTTTCTACTCCACTGTAGACGATACTTAAAAGAATCCATATGTTGATTGCCTCATAAATTTTATTATAATAAGGTCCACCATCCATGTATGACTGGATTTACTCATTCAGATGAGTGGTTCAGCATTTCAAACAGCACCATATCAACTCAAAAACTTTTATGAAGGACATACTCACTTTTGTAACACAAACAATTTTCATGAATTTTCACAGCCAGGGCAATAACTAAACAATTTGTCCTTAAGCTAAACAGACAACCATGCAAAGTAAATTTTAAAAATCACTGAATTTTTAAAGTTTAAATTACTGCTGTAATATGAAACTTTTTGCCTTAAATATTAATGGAATTCTTAACTCATTTGCAAAAAAAAAATCTTATATACTTGAAAGGTCTGGTTTAATATTAAATTGAATATAATTAGTGAATTTATATTTGATTATACAATAAGTTTTAAAAACAGCATACTTCTATCCTCATAATGTATAGCAGCTCTTTTGCGGTTAGAAGGACAGACATAAAAAGCAGAAGAAGTTATATAATGAGTGCATTGAACACATGATATTTTTCAAATTAAATAATGTAAGCTCTTGATCTATATTTTGTATAGGCAAACATTGCCAGGAAGACGTTGATGAGTGTGACTCCAAGCCTTGCTTTGAGGGAGTAGAATGCCTCAATTCCTTTGGTTCCTATCACTGTGCTTCATGTCCAAAAGGATTTTATGGTGATGGAAAAATATGCCATGGTAAAAGTTCCTACTTTGTGCTATGAGATTTTTTTTTGCTGCATTTAATTATTATTATTATTATTATTATTTTTTTTTTGAGACGGAGTCTTGCTCTGTCGCCAGGCCGGAGTGCAATAGCGCAATCTCAGCTCACCATAACCTCTGCTTCCTGGTTTCAAGTGTTTCTCCTGCATAAGCCTCCTGAGTTCATTACAGGCATGCGCCACTATGCCTGGCTAATTTTGTATTGTTTGTAGCCATGAGGTTTCTCCATATTGGTCAGGCTGATCTCAAACTCCCGACCTCAGGTGATCCACCTGCCTTGGCTTCCCTAAGTGCTGGGATTACAGGCATGAGCCACAGCGCCCAGCCACATTTAATTAATTCTAATTGCACAGTTCCTGTTTTCAACTTATGTATTTATTCAGTATACATGCATTATGTGTCATGCACTGAACTAGATATAGAGGATGCAAAAATACATAAGACAAACCCTCTGACTTAATAGGTAGAGTGTAATAGCAGGGAATATGACTAGTAATTACATAGTACAATACGGTGTTCTGTGTCTTTTGATAGACTTCCCAAAAGGGCTAATAGGAATACTACACAGGGAATCATATCTACCTGGAGAAATAATGAAAAACTTTTTTAAAAGGAATTGACTAGACTATACTAGACACATGAGAACTGAATCTGATAGATCAGGAGAGAAAAAGGCATTTTAGTTAAAAGCAACAGCAGGAGCAAAGGGACAGAGGCAGGCAACATCCCAACACTCCTTTGCACCCCCGTGAATAGTTGAGCATGCCTGAAATATAGGAAGAAAGGGGAGCTGCTACAAGAGTTGAATCTAGAGAGGTAGCTAGTAGTGAGATAACAGAAAAACCGTGGAGAGAGACTCTCTTAAAATTTTGAAGTAGTAGAGAAACATGATAAGGTTTACATGTGAGATAGTTTAAGGAGTAGTGTGTAGGATGGACCACCTGTGGGTAAGCAACTGTGTGAATCTAAAGGTGGGAAGAAGAGTTAAGAAAATATTTCAAATATATAGGAAAAAGATAAAGATATACCAACCTGAGATAAGGTAATGATGAAAGAGATGGTAAAGAAGCAAGTTAATAGTACTTTTTCAGTGATTGGGATCAGTATGATGAGAAAAAGAGATTCATTAAGTTTTAAGTATTTAATTTTAGTGAATGGGTGTGTAGAATTTGCATTTGCATTGCTATGGACAGAAGTGTGTCCCCCCAAAATTTGTATGTTGAAGCCCAAACTCCCAGTGTGGCTGTATTTGGAGAAAGGAAATAATTAAGGTTAAATGAGGTTATAAGGGTACAACCCTGATCCTGTAGAATTAGTGTCCTTATATGAAGAGACACCAGACAGCTTGTGATGTATGGACATATCAAGAAAGTGGCTATCTTCAAGCCAGGAAGAGAGCTGTCACTAAAAACTCAATCAGCCAGTTTGATCACTTTGATCTTTGACCATTGAGCCTCCAGAATGGGAAGATAATTTCTGTTGTTTAAGCATCCCAGTTCGTGATGTTTTGATATGGCAGCTTAAGCTGACTAAGAAACACATTCAACATAATGGAAAAATAAGTTGTTTTGGAGGGGAATTATAATGAATTCAGTTTGGATGCACAGAAGCTAGGGTTACTACAGAATATTCATGTTAGCTCAGAAAGGAGGATTAAGTTGAAAATGTAATTCTTAGAATCATCAGCTATGTTATAGAATTGTCCAGGGAGAGCTCTTAGATTTAGAGGGAAGTGGACAAAAAAAAATTGGTGGGCATCAACATTTTAAAAGATTAAAACAGAAAAAGCTGGCCAGGTGCCTATAATCCCAGCACTTTGGGAGGCCGAGGCGGGCAGATCATGAGGTCAAGAGATCGAGATCATCCTGGCCAACATGGTGAAACCCTGTGTTTACTAAAAATACAAAAATTAGCTGGGTGTGTTGGCACACGCCTGTAGTCCCAGGTACTCGGGAGGCTGAGGCAGGAGAATTGCTTGAAACCGGAAGGCAGAGGTTGCAGTGAGCTGAGATCGTGCCACTGCACTCCAGCCTGGCACCTGGTGATGGAGCAAGACTCTGTCTCAAAAAAACAGAAAAAGCTAAGTTATAGAAGACAATGTGGAAGATCAATACCATTGGTTTAATTAAGTGAATGGGACGCTCTTTGATGACAAATATGTACTAAGGAAACAGTATCATCTTGTGCTTCTTATTGGGCTAAGCCTGTCTAGCCCCACAGATATGAGTGACACAGTATAGGATGGTGAGGGGAATTCTGTACTTACACTTCTCACATTTACCCCTCAGTATCACGTCCCTCATATTCACAACTTTCACTCTAACAAGTGACCTAGCGTTTTTCTTTCCCAAACAAACAGGCCCATTTCTTCAATAAAGCCTTCATTCAGTGGCATTTCAGAGAAAAAGAAATTGAACCAAATCCCCTTACACATGAGTGACTAAATATGCTTCTGAACATTTTCAGAGTAACTTGTGTATTGTAGGAAGGCATTTATTAATACAGAAGGAATTTTAGTTTTTGAGACAAAGTCTCACTCTGTCTCTAGGCTGGGGAGTGCAATGGCACAATCTCAGCTCACTGCAACCTCAGCCTCCTGGGTTCAAGCGATTCTCCCACCTCAGCCTGCCGAGTAGCTGGGAATACAGGCACACACCTCCATGCCCAACTAATTTTTGCATTTTTAGTAAAGACAGGGTTTCGCCAATTTGGCTAAGATGGTCTAGATCTCCTGACCTCATGGTACGCCTGCCTCAGCCTCCCAAACTGCTGGGAGTACAGGAGTAAGCCACTGCGCCTGGCTGTTTTCTTAGTTTTATGATAGGTACCAGAGTCATTGAATATCAACATGAATAAAGCAGTTATTCTTGAGGTTATTGCTAACTAGTGGGGCACATCAGAGTCAATAGAATAAAGGGCAAATTTCTGTGTGAGAACCCAGATGGACAAAATTGATTGGGTGGGTGAATGCAACTGAAGAAAGGTATATTAACTTGGGCTGCCATAACCGATTGGGTAGCTTAAACACAGACATTTATTTTCTCACAGCCCTGAACGCCGAAAGTTCAAGATTAAGGGGCCAGTGGAGTTGATTTGTGCTGAGATCTCTCTGGTTTGCAGACTGGCTGTCTTCTTATCAGGTGTTGCTTGCATGTGTGTGCTCTCCTGTTATCTCTTCCTCTTTCTGTAAGGACACAGTCCTACTGGATTAGGGTGCCACTCTTATGGTCTCATTTAACCTTATTTGCTCCCTTAAAGACCCTTTCTCCAAACATTCACATTTAGGAGTAGGGCCTCAACACATGAATCTGGAGGGGTGGGGACACAATTCCGTCTACACCAGAAAAGTGTGCAGAAGGGATGACATTTAAGCTAGTTATTTAATCTAAATTGCAGAGTTTAACCCAAGTGGCAGTTGTAGCGTGTGTTCTTATTTGGGGTACTTTGATTGTATAATAATTTAAGTCTAATCTGTTTTCCTTGTTCTTATTTACAGTTGAAACACAGTTTTTAAGTAAGTTTACTACACAAACTGTGGTTCTCACGAGATCTGATGAAAGTGTAAATAAGGAAGAGGATGATAAAAATGCCCAAGAGAGAAAGAGGTATATTAAGCCAACAGATGGAAATTCCCTTAGTAAGTAATGGTCATAGTTAGATATCTAATGACAAGTAATTCCTCCTCTTTGTTTTCTAGAAGACCAACATATTTATTCTTTGAGTATATTTATTTTTAGAAAGATCATCTAAGGGTTATATAAAGCTGTTTAAAATTTATCCTTTCTCTTGCTAATCTATTGAATCACCTGGCTTATTATCTTTTTGAAAAATTTATTTATTATACTCTAAGTTCTGGGGTACATGTGCAGATCGTGTAGGTCTGTTATATAGGTATGCACATGCCATGGTGGTGGTTTGCTGCATTAATCACCCCGTCATCTACATTAGGTATTTCTCCTTAATGCTGTCAGTCCCCAATCTCCCCACCCCCTTCTATGCCTCCCCTAATTCCCCACCCCAACACCCCAGTGAATGATGTTCCCCTCCCTGTGTCTGTGTGACTTATGTTTTAGAAAAATGCGTTTATGTCCTCTTATGAACAAAGCATCTTTTTTTTTGAGATGGAGTTTTGCTTGGTTGCCCAGGCTTAAGTACAGTGGTACGATCTCTGCTCACTGCAGCCTCCACCTACCAGGTTCAAGGAATTCCCTGCCACAGCCTTCTCAGTAGCTAGGATTACAGGCACCTGCAACCATGGCCCTGCTAATTTTTGTATTTTTGGTAGAGACGGGGTTTCACTATCTTGGCCAGGCTGATCTTGAACCCCTGACCACGCGATCCACCCTCCTCAGCCTTTCAAAGTGCTGGGATTACAGGCGTGGTGTGAGCCACTGCACCTGGCCAAACAAAGCATCATTTACAGTGAATGCAGAGAAGCTTATGGTTGGAGGTGACCATTTCAGACTTATATTTTATAAATCCCTGGAAACTGGTCATCCAGTATCTGCTCAAACCCTAAAAGTGATTAAGAAGTTCACTATTTCACAACACCTTTTCTGTGTCCTGGCGCTTTCTTAATAGCTCTTAGTTGGTTCAATAACATTCTGTGATTGTCTTCCTAAAGTTCTCATACATTCACATTGGCTTTCTTTATGCCTTTGCATTCTGTAATATCAACCGTTATTGTGAATGGGATATCTCTCAAGATATTTTTGATTCCTGGAACACAGGAAATGAGTCTTGATTTTTGTATTGCTCCTCTGTTACCTCACTGAATACTCGGATGCACACTATGGTTTATAGTGGATTATATTTCTTGATTTTATTGGCAGACTAATTGTTTTTTGAAAATGAGGAGTTTTGTTTGCTATTCTTATTTACTTCCTTGTCTTAATAGTGAGATTTAATTTATACTTATAATGTGCCAGCACTAGGCAGACATTTTTTGTGTCTTACTTCATTCAATCCTCATAATAGCTATTTCCAGTAACTATTATTATTTTGGTTTTACAGATGATTAAACAGAATCATAGATGGGTTAAGTAATGTGTTCAGATTATGGAGTTTTAAATAACGGAAGAGAGAACTGAGCCAGAGCAATCTAACTGAAGAGACCAGGGTCTCAAATTTACACTGTCATTGTAGTGTAGTGTACCCCTAGTATAAAGCCTGTCGGGAAGAAAGAGCTTTGTTAATGGTATGGGAATTCTTCTCATGTTATACTATTGACCATGATATCACTGTAGTTTCTACTAGATATCCTTTATCCAATTAATGAATCTTCCTTTTATTAGTTGCCTTTTCAGAATTCCTAGTTTTAAATCAGGATTGGGTTGTAAATGTTATCAAATGCTTTTTTGGCATCATTTATTACTTACCGTAATTGCAATTAACAAAGTTTCTTTAGACTAATTTTCTCACAATATTTAAAATCAATAATTAATGCATATTATATTTCAACATCATTTTATATTTTCCGTATTGTCTTTATGCAATTACATAATATAATTATGTTAATAGATACAAGTCTAATCCTGATATATTTTTCTGTAAAAACACTGCTACTTTAGACTTGCTAGCATACCATTTTAATTTTTTATATAATGTCACAAATATATCGACTTTATGATTATGCCACTTTAAAAAGTGTTCATAAAACTTTTCATCTCTTTTTGTGCGTTGCTGCAGTTTTGAAAATACTCTTTCCTTGACTGTGGTAAAATTTTTTCATTAGGCGATCTGTCCTAGCATAATTTGGGGGAGTAATTTTGGATTGTTTTTCTATTTCTATCAACATTTATACCTCCTCTTGAGTCAATTTGCTCATTTATATTTTGCCAGAAAATCATGTGTCACATTTAGATTTCAAATTCTTGTAAACAATTATAGATAGTACTCTTGTACAATTTAAAATTGTCTTCTTGTATATAGCTTTTCAGTTTTCTCATCTCCAAAGTTGTTTAGTTGTATCTTACCACTGTTATTGTTTTTGATTTTTCCTAGATAGAAGTTGACAAAGGTTATCTATTTAATTGGGTTTCTTTTTTCAAATAATCATTTAGATTTGTTTTTCTGCTAATTGCTATCCTTTTGCTGCCTTTTCTATTGATTTGTAGGAGTACTTTATATATTATGACCACCTCATATATTCTGATCCTATACATAATATGTGCTTGAAATTAGCATGTTTATCTCTGGGATTAGCCTTTATCTGTGTTTTCTTTTTATATTAAAACATTAAAGTTGTATGTAATCAAATAAATATATTTTTAAAATCTTATTTACAGCTTCAGTTTAAGGATCTCTCAAAGTTTGTTATAAATATGAACTTTATATTCTCTTTTAGAGCATTTATTATTTTACATTTTATATTTAGTTTTTAATCCACTTGAAATTTGTCATTTTATGATATGAAGTAATGGTCCAATATGTTTTTTCTTCCAGATGAATAGCAATTATGTAGTATCATTTATAAAATAAGCCACATTGAATTTAAGTAACATATTTTTTCATTTAAAGTCCCTTATATGTTGATATATTTCTGAGCTTTCTATCATGTTATTATTTTCTAATAGTCTTTTTTCTATGCCAATAATACATTGTTTTGATTAGTGTGGCTTTATACTACATTTTAATATGTGTAAGAACAATATCTTCTCAGGATTCTCGTATTTTGTAATTTTTATGATATCTCTGATTTATACCTTCATAGGAACATCAACTCATTAAACTTCAAAAGAAAAAATGTAACTTACTAACATTCATTTGCTAACATATGCTCTTTTCTTACTTTCTTTAGTGGTAATTTTTGCAATCTGGAGTTGCAGTTCTTCTTTGCTTCTTTCTCCAATTCTGACAATAAACACTCTCTTAAGGAGAAGGTGCATGTAAAGCAGTTTGGTTCTGGAAGGAGCCCCCTCTGTATACAGAGGCTTATGGAAGAGGACACTGACTTGGCGCAGATCATCTGAAGCAGTTCTCCTGGGAACTGTTAGTCTAGTACCCTTTGGCTGCATTTGTTGACTTATTTGTACTTACTTCATTGCGCTTATTTATGTTTGGGGCTATAATTGGTGCACTCTTGTTTCTATTAGTCTGAACGCATATACTTTTTATGTTTCAGGAAGTTCTCACATTTTTCAAAAATTTTTCATTGCATTTGTTACCAACTATGTTAAGGATTATTTTTGTGATTTGGCTTGGTTTTCTGTTTTTATATTTTAAAACCTTTAAGAAGAGCTTTGGATGAAGACAGTGCAAAATCAAGCCCTAAATTTGCATTAGAGAGTATAACAAGAAAAACTTGTCTAATGACTGCTTAAGATGCGTTCATACTCTGAAACTCATTAGATTTTTCCCTATCAAAGAAGTAAAAATGTGTTATAAGGAAATGAAGTATTTTGGCAGGTAGAAATAAATAGTGACCACCCAAAAAAATGTGTAAAAATGTTTTAATTTCTAGCTGAGCAACCAAGATGGAGAAATAAAATCTCATTTTATCATATTGGTAAAATTATTAGAGCCATGGATGTTTACCTCTCATGTAAAATAGCGTTTATATAATTTTCCAATTTTTACTTACACATTTAGTTCCTGTCTTCTTTATACGCAAAATTACTTACTCTTCTGTTTCTGCAGGCTTCATTTTTATATTTGTCGGCCTTGTAGTAGTTCTCAATGATTGTGTGTCCTAGTGAGTGGCTCACTTGTCTGTATCCTTGACAATATTCTAACTTGCTCAAGGATAGGGGCTGTGCTTTCCTTTGTTTGAGGCTCATGTGTATGAGGTGATCAACAAGTATTTGTTAGCGATTTCAAAATCTTAATTAAATAAATGATTGTACTTTAACTTTTATGCTATTTAACATACTGTGTTATCTTGTCTACCCCAAAACATTATAGGCTCCTTGAAGGCAGAAACAGTGTCATGATTTCTTATTAGTACACAGCTCCTACTACATACAGTGTTAGACATGTGTAGATACTAAATGAAGAAATGAATTACTTAATGTAAAATATATCAGGTAGAGAAGACTATTAAGAAATGCTGCTAACTTTTTAAAAATTTTTTGATTATGCAGGTATAAATTTTCAGCCACCATCAACAGAATATTCACTAATTGGTACAAGATTTACCCCGACTCCTGCTACTATCAAAAAGTTATTGTGCACAACCAACATCTCCTGCTTGTCACTAAAATCAATTACATCTCAAATGGATAATTCAATAAAGACTGTTTACCATCAGATATCAGGTTTTGAACATGTGGATCATAGTCTCAGTACAAATCGCAGTTTGGATGAGTTGGAAGTTTCTATGAAGAACAGTAGCTCTTTCAGCATGAGCCCAAACAGCACCCATGGCAAAGCAAAAGGTGATATCCAGAGCACCATCCAAACAGAGACAGGAGGGTATAATTCTCAAATTAGCAGGTCTCCCCAAGGTGACATACAGTATAAAGAGGAGTTTGTGTCATCTGTTACCAAAGCAATCACTATTTTGCCAGAAAAGTTTGGATCAACCAGAATATCACCTTGTGCAGACTTGCCCTGTTTTCTTGGTGTTTCCTGTGTGCGAAGCTCAGATGGTCACTTCAAATGTGGACGCTGCCCTTTTGGGTATTATGGAGATGGTATCAATTGCAGAGGTAGTATGGAAGTCTTCAGAATATAAAAACAAAATTATCTAATTCAAGTTTAAGTAATTAAAAAGATATATTTTTTTAATTTACTAACTTCTATTTATTCTGCTTAGTTCACTTATTTCTGTTTATTTTATTGATCATTTATACTGTATTCTTATCACACTTTGAAAGAACAAAAGTGGACTTTCTGAGTTTTTTACTAAAATCATGTTAATATTATAGAGTATTACAACTGTATATGTTACAAATATATTTGAGTACTTTCTGTGTTCCAGGGTCCGTGGAAACATTTTGTATCAACTGTGTCATATAATCCACATGAATCTCACATATTGGGGATTATTTTTCCCATTATACAGATGAGAAAACAGCTTTGGAGTACCAACTGAGTTTCCCAGCATTAATCAGCTAAGCAGATAAAAGATGTCAATGTAGATCTGATTAACATTGTGATCTGTGCTCTTTTCAGCTCACAGCGGGTGTTTAGCCCTTCAGATTCCTAATTCTGGTATAGTTGCTTATTTGCATGAACTAGGTTTCTCTGTAATCTCTCCACCTCTTTTGAGATTATAGCAAATTGTCTGTGACTTTAATTTTAACGGCATTGTTTCTGTCTTCTCACAATTATTAACATTATTTTCTCTGATGAAAATCAAATTTTTGACTTTGACAAATTAGAAGCTGTTTTGTTTTATTGTTTTGCTTTGTGTTTTGGCTTATTTGAGACTAAACTTAAGCTGGAAAGTTGTTGGAAATTTCTTGTGTTCTCAGTATTATCTAGAGGGACTTAGGATTTCTTTTTTTCTGTAGGAATAATAATAGTAACCTTTAATACCTACCTGCTTATAATATAAAACACCTTATTATTAACAAATAGAACAAAATAACCTGATGCATTTCGGTTACCTCAGGAAGTGTTGAATGCTAACTGGAATATATTAGGTAATTAGAGAAATTTAGGAGATAGTAACCTGTTAGTTTATGATACATTCCTGGCATCTTGCTCTTTGAAATTCTGATTATCCTTGTCATTATTCAACATTTAGCAGATTAGTATCTGAAATTCCATTGAAACTTTCATTTGAAAAGACACTGTAATCCCATGTATGATTAGCTGCTATCTCCAACATCACGTTCTGCTTTGGGAGTCATTACCACATGTGATGATTCTTCCTTACCTTATTAATCATTTTTCTCCATCATGCTAGTAGTAAAACAAATACAAAGGGGAAAAATACAATTTTATGGATAAATGTATTGGTTGTTGTTTAACAGTAGTATCATACTATTCAAATTTCAGAGACTTTTGCTTTTATTATAACTAAGTCTGTGGGCAACATGCATGTTCTGTATTAGCAATTAACCTTTTTTTCCTTGATATTTTAAAGCCATTTGTAGATATCCATGTGGAAAAAGTAGAGAGTGTGTTGCCCCAAACATCTGCAAATGTAAACCTGGTTACATTGGTTCTAACTGCCAAACTGGTAGGTAACATCGTTCATTAGTTTGCATGATAAATTTTATTTGGTAATTGATATGTCTAAAACCTGGGCTTTATTTTGTACAGCTCTTTGTGACCCTGATTGCAAAAACCATGGAAAATGTATTAAGCCTAATGTTTGTCAGTGTCTTCCAGGACACAGTGGAACAACCTGTGATGAAGGTGATCATTCAAATTAAAAATCAAATATAGGCCTAAACTATAGCACAATAGCTTTAAAAATCATTTTACAACACAATTCAGTTTTATTGTATATATACTAAAATATACTTATTAAAGCTGGTATAGTGTTAAATTTATACTTATTTAAAATACTTACTAAATATAACTTATTTGAAAATTCCAAAGAATTAAATTTCTGAAATCAGAGATTCAAGGAGTAATAGCTTATTTGTTGTTGGTAAAATTATCCTCTAAAATGATTTGGGGTTTAGTTATAAGGTACTATATCTCTACACTTGATTTTAGCCAAAAGGCCAAGAAGCAATAGGGTACTATATCTCTACGAATATTTTAGCTTTAAGCAAAAGAAAGCTGTTGAATGACCTACAAAATATGGTTAAATGCCAAATAATTAGAAAATGTAAAGTAGTAAGAAGAAACTAAAACGTGAATTTTAAAAAATACATCTATAGCCATATAATTGCATTGCTTTGTTTTCAATCTTAAGTGGAAAGTTATGAAATAACATTCCTAAAGTGGATGATACTTTAAAGAAATAAGTTGTTTATTTTAAAATAATATTTTAAAAGGTAGTTTGGTAGATGGTACATATAATTATGAATAAGCTGAGAGCTATGTTAAATGTTTTTATGGCAAGGCAACTTACAAATTAACAAATTAAGGTAAATTTAGTTTGAACTTCCAGAATCATTCAATCAAAATAGTATAGGAAAATAACTATGGAAGTATAGGAAAGCTGTATTTGTAAGGCAGGAATATGTAAGTTCAAATCTCACTTTTCACAAGAAGGCTAGATCATATATTTCCTTTCAGTTAACAAAAAGTTTTATAAATCAAAGCATGCTACTGATTTGTAAGTGTTTCCAGTGTGAATTAATATAGTCAGTTTTATGGATCTAAATTTTGTAGTAAAAGAGAACTACATATTATAAATTGTTCTTACAACAAGATTTTATTGTGATGGTGCTTTATAATTATAAACTGACTTTAAAAATTAAGAACTGACTTAATAACATAATCTGTATCTGCAGAACATTGTAACCCACCTTGTCAATATGGTGGCACATGCATGGCTGGCAATCTCTGTACTTGTCCCTATGGTTTTGTAGGACCAAGGTGTGAAACAAGTAAGCAAAGCTTTCCTACTGTCTGATATAGTAAAATTGCTTCTTTGAATAGTTGATGGCCTTAATGCTACATGAAATGAACCCTAACTCTAAGTAAAGAACACACATTGATGACTGATGACAACAGTTACCGTCTTGTATAGCACTGGGATCAACCACAGCGGCCAGCACTAAGATAAAGAAGTTTGTTTTCGGAAGTAACTATTGCTTTGATGCTATCCATGACCTTTCTTTGAAATAACAGGAGTTCAAATTTGTTAAATTGCATATAAATTTCTTTTTAAATTTATGTCTATGATTGCTTTCATCAATAACTAATAATTTTCCTAAATAGCCAACTCTTGTTTACCACTTGGCTCAATGTTTTTCTATTTTTTCTATCTCTATTAACCAAAAAAATAAAGTAACTGAATGTGAGAATCAGAGAGTATTTCAAGCCTGAGTATAAATTATATTTTATCTTTCTCTCTGATCTAATACATTAGCAGATGTGATTGGCAGTTATGAACTAGCTAGCTAAGAACCAACAATATGACTACACCAAGCCTAATCATTCTTTTCTCTTTGTTCTGTGATCTCAGTGGTTTGTAACAGGCACTGTGAAAATGGAGGCCAATGTCTTACACCAGATATTTGCCAGTGCAAGCCTGGCTGGTATGGACCCACCTGTAGTACAGGTAAAACTGAAAATATTTTCAGTGAACATATTGATTAAAAGTTAAAATATGCCAATGTTCCAAAGATGTGCACCTAAGAAATATAAAACTGACCTGACAAGACAGGTATGAAGCTGTTATTTCAGAGAGATTTTTAAAACTCTTTCTTCTTCATTACTTTTCTTTTTATATGGAGCCATATGGTGTCTTACAGCTTTACTGTTATCTTAGCCAACCAATACTCTTTTCCTTTTATATTTCCCACATTCACGTACCTTATGGTGAAGAGAAACACGTTGAACTTTCTAGATTTCTTTAAAGTTTTTCATCACAGCACAAACATCCTATTTCATTAAATATCTAAATAATTCTGAATTAAGTAGACACCCTTCATGTTATTCCATGTATTAGGCTTGGTGTGTGTGTGTGAGTGTGTGTGTGTTTTTTTTTTTCCTGAGACAGAGTCTTGTTCCATCACCCAGGCTGGAGTGCAGTGGCACAATCTCTGTTCAATGCAACCCCCGCCTCCTGGGTTCAAGTGCTTCTCCTGCCTTAGCATACAGAGTGGCAGGGATTATAGGTGCGCACCACCATGCCAAGCTAATTTTTGTATTTTTAGTAGAGACGGGGTTTCACCATGTTGGTCAGGCTGGTCTCGAATTCCTGACCTTATGATCTGCCTGCCTCAGCCTCCCAAAGTGCTGGGATTACAGACCTGAGCCACCATGCCTTGCCTAGGCTTGTTTCTTTAGCAGCAATGTTTGCAGTGCTCTGTGTTTGAGATAATTCATTATAATCTAATGACTTTTTTCTCAGTGAAAATGTAATTCAGTGTTTATAGCTGGCCAATTATTTGTGAAGCATGATACAAGTGGAAACAAATATCTATTTGATTTTTGCCCTGATTTCAACTAGCATATTGTTAGTGACAGAGACATGGGATACAATGATAAAAAAGACTATGGTACAAGCTGAGTTATGATGAGTAATGTTATTGAAACACAGTTCCTTATAAGAGAAGGGAGAAATTAATTTTGGCAAGTGGAGTGAGGAGGAAAATAGAATTTGTAGTAGATGTTGGTGACTGGGTAGGATGTAGGGCAGAAAATGAAATTGGGCATGCCTTTCAAAGAAAAACAAAAAGAAAGAAGCAAAAACAAAGAGTGTTTTGAATGTGCTAGAACTTGAGTGCAGCTAATATCTATTGGTATGGACCCACCTTAGTAAAGGTAAAACTGGAAATATTTTCAATGAACATGTCAATTAAAAGTTAAAATATGCCAATGCCCTGAAGACACGCACCAAAGAAATATGAAACTGACATGACAGGACGAGTATGGGTATTCAACTAGGCTGGGCATTCTGAATTCTAATCATAGCCTCCACATTTTTAATAGAGCAGGCGCAGCGTCATCTCTGAAAAACACTGCCACTTTAAATTCCAGTTCCCTTTCTAGTCTCATGCATTTCAAGGAAATCACTTCTCTTCTCACTACAAGCAGCCAGAAAGAGCAAATAGTAAAATACAAATAAGACAGCTCTGGCACAGAGGGAGGTGGGGGCCAAAGTCTCTTGAGTAACTGCCAAACTTCACCCTCATACAGTGGGCCCCAGTGAAACAGTGGGCCTTAAAAAGCACATTTTTTTTTCCTCTTCAGGGGCAGTAAGATAGGAAAGCTAAAAGCAGATGCTCGAGATACCCTGCAGAAAGATGTATGGGAACAGACCTACATCTCTCCCTCCCAGATAAGCACAGCAGATGCAGAAACAGTCCAAACCTGTAATAAACTCTCCCACCCTAAATCCTTAAAAGCCTTTAGTCTGTAAGAGTGAGCCTCTGACCTAACGCAGCCAGTAGGTACCTCTCAGGTTTGCTTTCTCTAAAATAAATCTGTCCTGGCTGGCAAGCCACCTTTTCCTGTTTCTTTCCTTTCTGTAATTCTTACAATTCTTAGTTTAGTGTTATTTGTAAACTTAATGAATATCATTTCAAAGCAATTATCAAGTTATTTCATTCCTCTTATGTTTGGCCAAGTCTAATTAATTATAGGATTTATTTGCAGTAAAAATAAAATATTTGATTATGCACCATTTTGTACTTCCGTGCAGCATTCATTTTTTAAATAATAAAACTTTTATGGTCTTTTTTCCTCCTGCTGTTCATTAGCTTTGTGTGACCCTGTTTGCCTCAATGGTGGTTCGTGTAATAAGCCAAACACTTGCCTCTGTCCAAATGGATTCTTTGGTGCACAGTGTCAGAATGGTAATTATTCTTTCTTTGTATGTAAAAAGAGCAAAAGGAAAGTTAGACATTGACAGAGCTCTGAGTAAACATGAGATAAGTTTCCAAGGGAAAGATGCTATTATCTTCCCCACAATTCTTGGGATGTTTCAAGTATCTCTACCAAATTACTCGCTTACAAAAAATATATCAAAGTTATTGTGAAAAATGGTTATATTTACTCAATATATGTGAAACTCAGACCTTGGTACCTATCTGTGCAGTTTTATAAGACCCAAGATGTGAAACAAGCAAAGTTCTCTTGTAGTCTGTTGTAAGGAAATTGTGTCATTGTTGTTGCCTACACAGCAAAAATGTTTGATTTATTATCAGTCTACTGTTCACCATTATCCCATAATCTCTTTTCACCTTAGTTTCATTAAACATTTATGAAGAATCACCTGTGCATAGCACTATGCAAGAAGATACAGAGACGTAAAAATGCATCGTTTCTCTCTGTCACGGCTTATTATTTTAACACTTTCCATCATATAGTTAATGTTACACATTATTTTCAGAATAATGGGGATGTCTTGAGGGTATGAATTAATGTCAATCAATAATATGTAACGTGCATTTTCTGTATCTTCATATTTTTGAGTTTATAAAAAAAGTAGAGTTGAATTTTACTATAGAACATGTCAGAGTATGTCCATAATTCCTAAAATTTATATTTTCCTTGCCGTGATGCACTTTGATTTGCAATTCTATTTCTTTTATTTTGGATGTTGGCTAAAATTCCTAGGATGAAAATAAAGCAGAAAAGGTGCCATCATGCTAATGCAGGATATATGGGCATAGTAAATGAGTTCCTGAAATTCATATTCCTTTGAGGAAACAGTTTGAGAAACAAAAAGAAGTAAAGACTAAGTTAAGGGAAATCTTGAAAACTAGAAGACTATAGCTAAATCCATGTTAAAGAGTTATATATGTAGCTTGAATGGAGAACGTAAGGAAGGAAATGAAAACCTCACATCTGTCATGCTACTTGAAGTAGATGTAAGAATAGTAAAAGTTCTTTAAAATGTATATGCCAGTTGTATAAGTGGATAAAGGAAGCAATCTTTCAATTATTAAATTGAATTAGAAATTATCTATTGAATATATTCCATGCTTTAAGGGTCAGAAAACAGATTATCACTGTGAGAAGAGAGTAGGTTTTAGAATTAGCTTACCTCCACAAGTTTCTAGCTGGTATGTAAATTTACTTAAAGCCTCCATGCCTCAGACTTTCCTGGCTTTCAAGTATGACCTAGACAGCGGGTGTGACATGTAATTCTTATTAGATCTCGTCTTCCTGTGAGCCTAAATGGTGGGAAGGGAAGATGGCAGATACATTGAAAGTGACTGAATAAAATTAGGTAGAATATAAAGTCATATGAAAAACATATACTGTGTGCACTATAGGAGTTTAAAAATGGAAGATAGAAATTGAGCTAGAAACAACACAAAAAAGTTAAACTACTAAACTAATAAGCAAGGCTTAGGATGTATGGATGGAGAGATGATGAAATACACCCTCAAATTTGCTTTACCTCTTGGATTTCACATGGAGAGTGAATGCCAGTTACTTAGCTCACTCTAGGGTTTGGTGACAGAGCTGTATGAGGCCTACAGAATCTCATAAATATATGTGGAGGATAGATTTTTCTCATAAACCTCCTTTTCCTAATGTGGGATTATGGGTAGACATGGCCAAGGCTAAATTGTGTGCCCTTTGTATGTATTAATTGTTTGAGTTTTTTGTATAAATATTTATTTCTACACTCAAGTTTTTGTGGATAATTAATTATAGCAAGATTACCCATCATAAATAATTTGTGGAGCTTTTTTAAGTTTTAAATTCCTAACCACAGGCATTTCCTGTAGAGTTTTTGAAGTAGAAAATATATACTTTTTCTAATAAATGATAATAATCTTAAATTTTATGAAAGATAGGGAGCAGAAAACATAAGAACATTTCTTCATCAGTAAGAAGTATCAATAAAATGTCAGAGAAATAACAGTAGACTCAAGCATAAACCAGAGAAAGTTTAGCCTAAAATATTGGAAACTATCTGCTTGCTAAAAGCTTTCAGTTGTTTTGTTATCATAAAGTTCTACATTATTTCCATTTAAAAATCAATTTGAAAACAGAATTTTTCTTACAATGTTTGGAAATAAAGCATCTGTTAATGCAAACTGGGAGTCAGTCTACACTAGTCCTTTTTTTTTTTTTTTTTTTTTGAGACGGAGTTTCGCTCTTGTTACCCAGGCTGGAGTGCAATGGCGCGATCTCGGCTCACCGCAACCTCCGCCTCCTGGGTTCAGGCAATTCTCTTGCCTCAGCCTCCTGAGTAGCTGGCATTACAGGCACGCGCCACCATGCCCAGCTAATTTTTTGTATTTTTGGTAGAGACGGGGTTTCACCATGTTGACCAGGATGGTCTCGATCTCTTGACCTCGTGATCCACCCGCCTCGGCCTCCAAAGTGCTGGGATTACAGGCGTGAGCCACCGCGCCCCGCCCACTAGTCCTATTATTAATACTAGTTAATTTGAAATTAATTTTTAAAATACAAGCTAACATTTAATTATTGTTTAGGAATAAATTAAATTTTTAATTTTCTAGACAGGTTTACCTGTGTATTACTTCAAAGAAATGCCTGCATTTAATTTTCATACCTGGAAAAACATGAAGTAATCATAACCATCTATAAAATTAATATAGCTTAACGTCTGAATTTCATAAAACAGAATTATCTACATAGGAGCTACCAGTAAGATATATTCAAAATTATCTAACAAATATTCTTAACAAAGCCAAGGATTTATTGTTAAAAGGATTTTTACCAAGCATTCACAGGAATAAGTCACATATAAAGCTCTGCCTTCATAACCTTAGTAAGTATTCAAAAGCTAATTTGAGTGTTTTCTAAATATGTGAAAATTATTGAGAGTTGTCTAATTTCCACAAGAACTGGTACATTCTTATTTTGAGCTAGGTTTTGACTTATTTTCTGGGTTTTGTCTAGATCATTCCATGCTTTACTTATTGTATAGTGAAACATAAGATTTATAATATATTCATTGTAATACCAAAGACTCGATTTGTTATGAACACTTAACCAATACATTCAAACTGTGCTAACCCTATAGCAGCTTATAGGTATAAGCATCACATTTTGTGATTTAGAAAGGACAGATTTAATAAGGGATCTCTTATTTGAACAGCACAGTTCTCTGCCTTGTGGCCTTATGGATAACAAGCACATGATGCTTTATGTCTCATATGTAATAATTGAATGTGTAATATTCACAGATTGCTGCCATGTGTTCTTTCAGCTTTCTGTCACCCTCCCTGTAAGAATGGTGGCCACTGCATGAGAAATAATGTATGTGTCTGTCGTGAAGGATACACTGGTAGGAGATGCCAAAAAAGTAAGACATTGCTAAAGGTATTTGTCAGCTACAGGTAAAGCAAAGACAAAACTGTGGAATGTAAGGGCTGATCTTTCATGATTTTACTTTAAGGCATCTGTGATCCTCTGTGCATGAATGGAGGAAAATGCGTGGGACCAAACACTTGCTCTTGTCCTTCTGGTTGGAGTGGGAAACAATGCAGCACACGTAAGAGGAAGCTTAAGACGCTAAAGCTTTCGTCCTTCATGGGAACATAAAGCAGAATTTAAAACAGAGAATATTGTTTTTTACTTTTGTTTGCTTGGTCTTTTTAAAATTTTTGCATAATGTAGGAGATGTCTTTTTGAAATAGTGAGTTTCTACTCTTCCGAACTCATTCTTTCAGGTAGCAAAAGAGGATATATTGTATTTTTCAGCTTTTCTACTGCACTTGCCAGGATAAGTAACAAGTCCTTAAGTCCTGAAGTAGGGGTCAGGGACAGGTTTTAAAAAATTAGTGATTTCGTGGCCCCACCTCAAACTATCCAGGTCTAACCTTTCCAAGAGGAGGTGACAGTGCCACTCAGGCTGGTTAGCTCCTGAGGGTGGCTCTTCATTCAAATGTTTCATTCTTTTTTTCCTTTCTGTAAATTATTTTAAATTAGTCACTACTAGAGTGTTTTGATCAAAGTGAAAAAATGAGAAGCAACCTAGACGACCAACAATTGGAGAAAAGTTAAATCATGATGAATTGAAACAATGGAACATTTTACAACTGTTAAGGTCACATTTCCAAGAATATGTAGTGACATTCAAGAATATTCTTGATAAATATTAGGGTAAAAAAGTTTCTTTAATCACTGACTTTTAACTATGTCTTTTCTTTTCTCTGATGAAAAGTTTCAAGGGTTATGGATAGGATTTGACTAGTCATTAAAAATTTTAACTTGTTTCTATTTCAATTGGCAGCTATCTGCTTGCAGAAATGTAAAAACGGTGGTGAATGCATTGCTCCCAGCGTATGCCATTGTCCTTCCTCCTGGGAAGGAGTGCAGTGTCAAATACGTAAGCCCACAGGATGTGTTTCTTACTATTGTTCTGAATTGGAATCTGTTATAATAATTAAAGTACAGCTTTAGGACAAATACATAGGGGTAAAAAACTCCAGCGTGATGATACTTTTTAAAAAACGATTTTAGAAATAAAGCTTACTAAATTTTATATTCATTTAAAAGATGAAAGTATAGTGTAATATGTTAACAGTTTGTGTGACAGAGATAATTTCAAATTATGGTCTGTGGATTACCAATAAAATTGCTCAGGTAGACCAAAGAAGGTGTTGATAGACAGAAGTTTAAATATTATTTCATATTATAAGATGAATACATATTTATCATGGATACCTTAGAAAATATGGAGACGTATTAAAAATTATTCACTCTAAATTTTACCATCCAGAATTAATTTCTGTTGCTTTTTTAGAGTTTTAGTATATTTCTATCCCATGTTAGTCAAAAATTTCTACATAGATGAAATCTTAAGGTGTAGAGGAAGATCAAATTGTATGCAATTTTGACATTTTTTGTGGAAACTTGAAATAACATGTTAAAATATTAACAATGACTAACTTAATGGGAAAAACTGGAAGTCCCTCAAAATACTTCCAAATGGTTAATAATTATATAATTTCAAAATTGGTGGCCAAGCGTACTGTAAACTGAAATTACACAGTTTTATTATGATCATACTTTCTTACTAGAAATAATGTACCTTCCATTTCAATGTCTTGTGAACCACACCCTTGTTTCCATGCATCAGAAATTTTGCATGAAATGTTTGTGACACTTAAACCTTATTTTATTAGTAAATGCTCTTGTAATTTATATATTTCTTATCCTAGGAAGGCATATCAAAGTATTATTAAGTGCTGGCATTTGCATAGGAAATGTATGCTCAAAAATTGATAATTCTAATTGGAATTTAGATGTGATAAAATGCTAGAAAAAAAAAGAGTTAGCAACCTCAACATGGACTGCTTGTTCTGGAGTGAGTTCTATGTAGACCATAAGAGAGAAAGATGAAAAGATGTTAAAAACACATTAATGAAGAAATATGCTTCAGTGGTTGGAGATTGAAGTTGTCTGAGCACAGCCTGAAGCTGTGCACCCTGTTTCTGCACCCTGCAGCATTTTTATGTGAATTTAAAAAGTCATCCTACTTCAAGTTTTTATTTCCAACTATTGAGAAACTGTCCAAATATATTGATATTTCTTAAACAAAATATGTTACTACCATCTGCTGGAAAATTGTTGTAATAAATATTCAAATCTATGGTATCTATCATGTGAATGCTACTTCCTTCGCTGTGGAGCCCTTGTGGATTGATTATACAAACTGCCCAATTGTATACAGCAGCCCTGATGAAAACATATACTGTCAACATTGCATTTATCTTAAAGGACATATTATTCTTGAATGTGTAAGCTTCGAGTATGTGATATTGAAGCAGTAACTATTATATAATTTTATGGTATGCTAATTTTCACTCAATATTGCTTAAAAACATTTATGTCCTTTAAAAACAAAATTTTAAGCAATATATTAATTCCATAATATAAATATTACGAAAGTTGCTTTACCCTCCCCCTTATGTTTAATATTTTAGTTATTTACAAGTTATTATGAAGGATTGTAAGCATTTTCTTTCTACAAGTAGATGATAAATAAATCGAGATATTGAGATAGATATAGGTATTTTTAATTGCCTTAGAAAAGATTTCAAGGAAAAAATTTCTGATATAGACAGCATGAGTATTTTTCAGAAATTTCCAATAGAGTTGTTTTATGTTAAACTTCTAATGGTAGTGTAAAAATTGTCAGCTTTTCCATACACTAGCCAGTATTGAGTTGTCTCTTTTAAATTTTTGCTAAATGTTAAAAAGCAAATTATAAATGCTATCTTCTGTTAATGACTTTGGCTCCTCTAAAAAAAGAGATGTATTTCAAATACTTTAAAATATAGTCGCCTGGCGCGGTGGTTCACGCCTGTAATCCCAGCACTTTGGGAGGCCGAGGTGGGTGGATCACGAGGTCAAGAGATCGAGACCATCCTGGTCAACATGGTGAAACCCCGTCTCTACTAAAAATACAAAAAATCAGCTGGGCATGGTGGCGCATGCCTGTAATCCCAGCTACTCAGGAGGCTGAGGCAGGAGAATTGCCTGAACCCAGGAGGCGGAGGTTGCGGTGAGCCAAGATCACGCCATTGCACTCCAGCCTGGGCAACAAGAGCGAAACTCCGTCTCAAAAAAAAAAAAAAAAATATATATATATATATATATATATATAGTCAATGAAATTTTTTGTTTCTTTTAATAATATCTTTATGGAATTCCAAAAGTATTGTTTGAGCTTTGGGTGTTTTGTTTTTGATGTGTGTATGTGTTCTGAAAGATGGGAGTGCATAGATTAGATCCATCCATCGATGGTTCGTTAATAGATTCTTGTGACGGCATTAGTGTACAGTCACCACATAGCCTCAGACAACTGGAATAGAATATGTCACAAGCATTTCATGTCAAAAGACCGTTATTGTAAAAATTTGTGTATTGCAGCAATTTGCAACCCAAAATGTCTTTATGGAGGCAGATGCATATTTCCGAATGTGTGTTCCTGCCGCACTGAATATGCTGGAGTCAAATGTGAGAAGAAAATACAGGTATTTCAAAGTTTAAAAAAGAAAATAAATAGTAGACATTGACATTTACATATCTCTTCTACTTAGTAATTGTTACCAATTAATGTTTTATTTTCTTTTATTTCCAAAATAAGAATAAAAGTATTTGCCTGTAAAATCAAAAATTATGTCATTTTTATGTACAGTAAAGTCATTATTTAAAATTTTGATGTGTGGTTAAGGAATTTCAATGTATAGATACAATTGTCCAATGTAATGTAGTATTTCATGACACTGGAGTTGAGACAGCAAATTTTCCACAATATAAATTCAAGACACCACTAATTTATGTTTTGGTCAAGTACTTGGTCAGCAGACTACCCTCACCTGTCTCAAAAAATCCACCACTTTTAAATAAGTAAATCACCACTTCATTTACTTGAGGGTGGTTCTCATCATTTTCAGTGGGGCACATGCCACTAAGGCCTTGTCTATTCTCGTTCATTTTCCCTGACAGTTATTCTTTTCCTTCATTTGTGCCCTATTAAAATCTGTTACTAGGAAAGCAATAGAAAACTCTTGATATTATTAGAATTAGGATTTCTTTGTATTTCAAAAATCAAGGAATGGAAGAAAGATCAGAAACTTTCTTGGAGTTTCTGGAACTGCCCACACTTGTTTGTAAGGCCAATGCTATAACACATATCTTTTAAAAGTTTCTGTGATACTATTTCTTCATACAGGATTAAACTGCATTTTGTTTGATCTCTAATCTTAAATTTCCAAATATTGACAGCTGAGATATTATTTCAGTCCTAATTCCTATATATATACAAGGGTCGCTCTAATAATCTGTCTCACAAACACAGACACAAAAATGCAGCAAACATCTAAAAAATCTCTTAATATGCAGGAGTTATAATTTAAAAAGTCATGATATGCCATTTAGCACTTCAAATGCCCCAAGGTCATGAATATGAAAGTCTGCTGGAGTACTAGAATTTGACAACTGATTAGAAATTTTCTTCTTGAAGCTTGATATGGATCAATGTGACTTAGAGACAAAGTGGATGTATGTATAGTATTCTCCGAGCACTGGTGTCATCCTGTATGATTGGCCCCCATTATGAAAATAACCAGATCATAATAGAGCTATGGTTTGAAAACTGGAAAGCAAAAGTTATTGAGTATTTATTTGATTAGATGTTGTTTGAGAAAAATCAAAATAAAAGCTTGAGCTTCTTTGGGTTTGAAGGCAGCCTAAGTATGCATTATCTGATTTGATTTGATGTGAGATTTTTATGGCACAGAAAACCCTATGACCTACAAAGCTTTTTTAACTCCACTTTGACAGTATTAAACTTAGGTGGCTGCTCTATATTGTATTTTATGTATTTATTTGCCATCAGATTCTTTCCTCAAATGATCAATAGCAAGTCATCTTTATCCCCAATAATGTTGCTTCTGACAATGGATTTGAAATCACACTAAGAAGAAAAAAATGTCAGGAGGCCATGGGGGAAAGGCTTGAGGACAATATGTCTTGTTCTAATGCAACCTGGTCTCCCAAGCTTATAGCTTCAATCTCATTCTGTATTCGTGATGATATTATTATCATTTGCTTTTGATATTTCTTTGGGATCACACACACAGGTTAAAACATAAATTTTTTTAGTCGGGAAAAAAGCAGCCCCTATCCACAGGTTTCCACGGAACCTTCTCCAACTCCATCTCTTGTTCCCCTCTTTCCTACCTTCCCCAAGGGAGAGTTCTGGCTGGCCAACTACGTCCTGGCTCTTTCTCAGGCACCCTGAGGTAGTGGGTTAAAAAAGAAATGGAGGTTACTGATTGGGTTGCTAGAATTTCAATGAAGAAAAGAATTACTGACTAGCGACAAGAAACACAGAGAAAGAGACAATAAACAAAGGAAGGAAAGATGCTAAGAGGATGAGTTGACAAAAGGCTTTGGGAAGCATCGTAACGTCCTGCTTGCTGCTGAGTGCACTTACACTGACCCTGCCACTTATTTGCTCTGTGATTTTGGCCAAGTTTTACCCTCTGAGTCTCAGTTTTCTCATCTGTAATATGGCACTAATAGTAGCACCTAATCATAGGCTTACTGTAAGGATTCAATATGTTAATATATGTGAAGTACCTAGAATAGTGCTTGGGATATAACAAGCACTATGTAAGAAGATTGTGACTAATTACACTGAAGAGAGGAACAGTAAGAGGTAGAGAAGAAAAAGGATGGGGAAAGACACGTGAGAGAAATGTTGCAATGCATTGTGAATATCAACAATTTTTTTTCCTGAGGGGTATCAAAAATTAATTAGCTTTATTGGACATGGATATTTCTAAAGTGTAACCCTGGGCCGAGATGGAGTCACCTATTATGCAAGCTCCATTTGGTTATCACTGCTTGGATCTTAAATATCTCGATTAGATTTCAATGTTATGAAAATAGTATTGAGTCTAGTGGCAAACAGAACTAAAAGAGCCTTACATATCATGTCAGCAGGAAGAAGGTAACAAATAATGAGTAAGAGTTAAATGATTAAAAAAAAAAAAAAAGAGTTAAATGATTTTATGCTATTCATTGAAACACAATTTCCTTCTTCCTACTACAGATCAGACGCCACTGAGTAGCATCGAGTATATGAATTAAAAGTCTGTATCTTAAGAACGGAACTGTGTTGTTCAGAAAAAGTTGGAGATAACTCGACGTTTATTTGAACATCATTTAAAAAATATCTTAAAGACTAAAGAAACTAATAAAATATATAATGATCCCAGTTGTAATTATTAGAGAAAAGCAAAGAAGAAATCCAGGTAATCTAAATTGGATGTTGAGTTGGAATAGAATATTTACATATTGAGATGATGTATCTGATATTCCATCCATTTGCAATATTTAATAAACTAAATATTTTCTCAGCCCTAACTGTGACTGCATCTGTACCATCAGGAGTCAATCAGTATAATGGAAGCCACTTGATATCTTCCTGATATATGATGTTTATATAATAAGAACTGCATAATAAGAACAACTTGGTCTCCCCAAGCCCTTATTTTAACCTAGACATTCCTTCTTTTGATCCTGGGTCTTTAGATAAATTCTTTCAACCAACTGCCAATCAGAAAATTCTTGAATCCACCTATTATGTCTCCTCCCTAAAACATAAAACCCAGCTGTAGCACGACCTCCTTGGACACATGTCTCAGCATCTCCTGGGGCCATGTCACAGGACATGATGACTCATATTTCACTCCGAATAAATCTCTTCAAATATTTTACAGAGTTTGACTCTTTTCACTGACAATAACTTGCTTCACTATGTTTTATGTTACCAGACATTCAGAAATATAAATGCAAAATAAATGTTAACACTTAGTATATACTTAAATGCTTCTTCAGCTTTTGTGAAAATAGGAGTATTGTAGATAAAAATGAATATTTTTAAAACAGTTATTGGAATTAGTATGAAAATAGATACAACTTTTATATCAGTTTGACAACTTTGCTCAGTATACAACTGTATGAGTGGAAAACAAATTCATTTTCTTCCTAGTATACTCTCACAACACAACAATCAACACAGAAGACTTCTGTGACCTCTGGTCATCAAGAAGTTTATGGGGAATTCTCCCCAATAATTAATCAATTCTGCAGCAGACAAAAGCTGGATGTCCTCTTAATTCAATTCAATTCTGAGACTATCTACCTGTAGTAGCATCAGATGCCTCGGGTTGAGGGCTCTGTCCCCCAATTCCCCAGACTTCCCCACTTCAGATGGCAGTCACATGCTGTAGATTGTTTTACCTGTGCCTCTGACTGGCCGGCTACAAATTGGAGTTCCCACAATCTCTTCCTCTCAGATTTGATTAATTTGCTAGACCGGCTCACAGAACACGGTGAAACATATTTACTGCTTTATTATGAAGGATGTTACAAAGAGCACAGGTGAGGAGGGCAAAGCATGTGGGAAGGGGTGCAGAACTTCCATGCCCTCTCTGGGCTCCTCCAGGAACCTCTGTGTATTCAGCTATCTGAAAGCTCATCTGTACTTTGTCCTTGGACCTTTATGGTGACTTCATTACATAGGCATGATTGATTGAATCATTGCCCATTGGTGATTGACTTGACCTTCAGCCTCTCTCCCCTCCATGGAGGTTGGAGGGGCTGGGATGAGACGCCTAAAGGTGTCTTGGTCTTTCCTATGACCAGCCTCCCACGACCTGGCTAACCAGGACTCCCAAGCCATCAGTCAACTCATGAGCATACAAAAAGACACTTATCACCTTGGAGATTATAAGGATCTTAGGAGGTATATGTCAGGAATGGGATGAAGACCAAATATATATTTCACAATATCACAACCACATAGCAATTTTATCAATAGCCTTATTGATTTTTAATGTAAACTTTTTATGGTTATAAAGTTATAACTACTTAAAGACTTATTCTGAGGTACCTGAACTAATGCAGTTATTCACCACATAATGAATGATGTTTCAGTTAATCGCAGACTGTATATACGATGTTGGTCCCCTCAAATTATATTACTGTATTTTTACTGTACCTTTTCTATGTTTAGAGCTACAAATACTTACCATTGTGCTACAATTACCTACAGTATTGAAATACAGTAACATGTTGTAACGGTTTATAGCCTACGTGCAACAGTCTGTATCATATAGCCTAGATGTAGTAGGCTGTACCACCTAAGTTTGTGTAAGTATATTCTATGATGTTAATACGAAGACACAATTGCCTAATCATGGATTTCTCAGAACATATACCCTTCATCAAGTGATGTATGAGTGTACATTACATTTTTCATAAACGTTTTTTGATCTACATCAAAAATGATAAAATTAAAATATTAATCAATACACTAACCATTTATAATAAATTTAATGGACCTGTTTATGTTAATAATGAAGAAATACCATGGTTTACAGATTTCATGTAAAAATCACTCCTTATGAAAGATAATGACTCATGAAAATGAAAGTAACATTTAGAAATGTGAGTTTAGAAAAGCAAATAGTTTTATAAATTTATGGCTAGAGATTTAATTTTTGGCTTATGTCTTAGTGATATTTCACATCAATTAATTTGAACATGTTTTATTCACAGCCTATTTGGAAAATACTTTGAAAACAATGAGTGTTTAAAAATTAAGCAAAAGTACTTGAAAATATGTAACTTTCAATATTTATAAATTTTATTTATTAATATGAAGAAAATCTTTTTATGTTGCCTAGGCTAGAGAGTAGTGTCTATTCACACTGAATTCTCATAAAGAATTTAGTTATAGACTTTGCTTAGTTAATATGTTTGATGGCTTTGCATTTATTCATACTAACATTGAAATGAAATGTATGACAAGATTTAAAATTTCAGGTTAAAAGTATTTGGGGATATGTGGAACCCATAATGACAATATAGACATATTGTATGTATTTTTTCAATTTTGTAAAAAAACATTAAAATTATGTAATTTTTAATGAACTTATGTGCTAGAGTTTAAACCAAGTATTTATGAATCAAATTAGTATAATATTTTGCTTTTATGCCACTTAATAATTTGTTTATGACTTATAATTTGCTTGCCAGGTACTTCTAAAATGAGAGGCAGTGGCCTAAATATTAAACAACATGTTATATAGGGGAGAAATACATTACAGAAAACCTAAAAGAAGATATATTGTACTGTGTGTCTAAAATGTTATTAACTATAAATAAGAAGTAAATAATTACATTAAAAGATTCTATTCTTTTTAAAAGAGAAGAATAGCTATTTGTTCACAGAAAGCAAAGTAGGGAATCAAGTGGAACTTGCTCATCAATGTTTATATAGTGGGTATTGCGTAGCACTGAAGCTGATGTTTCCTCAATCACTGTTTGCAAAAGATACTGAAAATATCAACTCAATTCTTGTTTCTAGAAAAAAAGTCTGACAAAATTCCTAAAGATTGCATAATTCAGGTGGGTGTAGTGTTCTGTACCTGTCATCTCAGCTACTTGGGAGCCTGGGACAAGAGGATCACTTGAGCCCAGGAGTTGAAGTTTGTAGTGAGTGATTATTCTACCTGTGAGTGCTATGAATCGCTACTGCATTCTAGCCAGGCAACGGAGACCCCATCTCTTAAAAACAATTGCATAAGTCTTAATACATTTTCCTTGTCTATGAAGTAGATAAGATATTTGTAAACAGCAGTAAAGCAAAGTGTGCTAAAATCACTAATATTTAAAGTTGAATAAGATATAAGACTTATTCGCAGGTGACTTTTATTTTTCACAGAACTCAGCCCTTAATTTCAGAAAACAAGCCATGCAAACTGACCCTGTTGACAATTCTTGTCAAGTTTATTTCCTCCAGTTTTCAATTTGCCTCACAAGGACCTCATCACGTAACAGTTAAACTCTTCGTTGACGTTGAAAACTATGGGCAGCATCCTTAACACTCTGCTTCCTTTGAACAATCAGGCTTGTAATAGCCAGGACAAGTCTGCAGCAGACAGGTGTGTTGGATTGCTACCTATCCCTGGCAATGAAGAGTGGGAAAGTACCCTCAGTTTTCCTCCTTTTCTGTATTTCTTCTACCAGCCCCCCCTTTAATGGAAATTGACTCCCTTTTTCCAGGTGGGAGCCATCAAATTAAGAATTTTTTTTCTTTGATGCAACTCAATAAATATGGTGGTTGATTAAAAAGATACAGCAATCAAGACAAGAAGTGAGGCTGGATCTAATATTAGGGAGCCAGGAAGCAATCAAGAGACTCATTCTTTTCTCTTTCTGGAGTTGCACGGATCGTCTCTTCCTGGCTTCTCTGTAAATCTTTAATTCTCTTTGCTCATTGCTGTTATTTATTGATTTTCCTCAGGATTCAATGTGGTCACCAGATTAATGTGCTGATCTTTCTAGTCCAATTACTGCCACCTGTTGCCTAGAAAACATGTCATTTAGTTCAAAGGTCTTGAATGAGAAAAATCTCAGAGCGATTGGTAGCACAGGATGGGCGTGAAACAGTGACCGTCCCCAGGCCATCAGCCCAGGTGAGGGCCTGCAGAGTCATGGCAGGTGGAGTTGGCTGTTTGCTAAGTTACAGGGAAGTTTATTTTATTAGTTCGTTTTCACACTGCTCATACAGACATACCTGAGACTGAGAAATTTACAAAAGAAAGAGGTTTAATGGGCTCACAGTTCCACATGGCTGAGGAGGCCTCACAATCACAAGGGAAGGTGAGAGGCTTGTCTCACATGGTGGCAGACGAGAGGATGAGAGCCACGCAAAAGGGATTTCCCCTTATAAAATCATCAGATCTCTTGAGACTTACTACCATGACAACAGTATGAGGGAAACCATCCACATGGTTCAACTATCTCTCACTGGGTCCCTTTCACAACACTAGGGAATTATGGGAGCTATAATTCAAGATAAAATTTGGGTGGGGACACAGCCAAATCATATCATTCATGTTCTGAGTTGGACAGGCAACAGTTCTAAATTCAGAAAGTTCTCAGAGCTTGACTTTTGTGATACTGAAATTGATCATGGTAAATAATTAGACCAATTTGAATAGCCCTCTATTCTTGAAAAATGATAGTAATTCTAGAAAAACCTTGGCTGTCAAAGATTTTTTAATTTTTGCTTTATTTTATTTATTGAAGGCAGGTAAACGAAAACTATGTACAAATATTTCTGTCAAAAGATTGCTAGGTATGATAACCTCTTCACTCAGCCTCCACTTTATTTTCATAATTATTTGATAGCACACCATAACAATCAGAAGTGCTTCCCTTAGTGGAAGTAGATCAATTATGTGATTATCATTTTAATAAACTAAGTGGGGATAATTAGAAGAAAAAAACCCAAAATGTATTGAGCATGATTTTAGGGATTCTAATTAATATTAATCCTTCAAACACTCA